AGATCGTCTATTGATAATTACCGAATGATGCTTTATCAATTGTGCTGACACTACCATTCATCTCTGAAGAGGCAGCAGAGATATTTTAAGTCCTGTCCAAACTCCTCAGCTTCCTCAAGCCATCAAAAACTCCTCCTTTTACTTAAGACAGCAATACAGTCATGTACAGTTCCTGCAAACGTTAAATCTTCGCAATTAGAATAAGCAGCATCGAGCACTGATGATATGAAAAAATCATACTACAAAGCATCCAATCTATGAAAACAGCATCAAAAAAGTGGGAGAGCCCGTAGTATAAATTTAACACTCAGGATGCTGCATTGAGAGGTACTTAGGTCACTGGGGTGAAAAAATAAATTTATAATTACTTATATAATTTTCTGTGGCTCCCACTTACTCACATGAGTGACAAGATGATTTCCTGGTTGTAAGCTGAATGTATTGCTCCAGCTCGGTTATCCTCAACAACATACATCACTTGTGACTTTACCTTTCACACAGACTTTTTGCACTGCTAATTATTAGTTACCAGAGCTGTCAAACTTATATGCAAGAACTTAATACTTAGGGGCAGAGACAGACCAATGGAGAAATAATAGTAAACACTAGTAATGCAGTCATTAATAGGAAGCATCAAGCAAAATGGAATCACTGTGGGGGTTGTTGTCTTACAAGTCCATTGTGGAATTATCTATGTATAACATGTAGTTTTACATCTATTTTTAAAGTTGGACTATGGAACATCCTCTCATATTTGCTTTATACATTAATTTTCCATTACATGTGAAAAAGGTCTCCTGCCAGTCTTCCCGAAAGGAAGACGAGATGCATCGAAAAACGCTGATGATTTTACCCTTGAAATAAGATCTGTTCATTATCAAGGCATCACGGAATTTTCATTAAGTGAATTAGTATCGCTGAGTTCAATTAAAAAGTCAAAACTGGCAGCTATTTCTCTACGAAAAGCATAGGAAAATATGAAATGGGCCATTATAAAAAAAAATCAATTCCTCTTGTTTGAATTACAGTTCTACAACATCACAGTATGAATTTCTTTGGGCAGGGTTGGAGAGAGAAAGATGATTTCTATTGATTATTATTTACAGGACCAAGCATGTTTACTCCAGTCCCAAAGTAAGAAATACTGGATTGAAATAGTCTGGGAGGGTTTTTGATCACACGCTTTACATTTTACTGTTTTTCCAAGTTTAAAATATTTTTCTTTGAAAGAGAGGTTTGAGAGAAAAAAAAAGTGGTTAAGGAGAAATGCACAAAAATGTACCATAAAGAAAATTTGTAATTGCCATCATATAAAAAATTTCATTTTTGAACAAATGTTTTCTTTAAAGTATTGTAAAAAACCCTCAACACCTACAACCATGAGCTTGCCTGATTTCATTCAGTTTCTAAGAAGAAGGCATTAGGCATTATAAAGGCAATACTTGCATGACCCGAATCAGAGGTTGTTACAGCAACTGAATACAGTGAACTGGAAAAATCCTATTCAAAATTGACAAAAGAGAAGCATGCACTTTGCAATCTGCTGCCATTTTAAAACATGCATTTCTCCTCTTCCTCTTTCTGAGGTGTAAGGCATTTCATCTATATGAATACCAGCTGCTTCAAAAAAAATGCCGATTGCTCTGTATTCCTTTCAGATTTTAAGGTATGCTGACTGACCATGGAAATTAAGTGTATTTGACTAGGGGAAACAAATTCATCCGGTAAACTCTGTATAGTCATTTTTTTGTTTGATAAATCTAGCATGTTGAATTGGGCTCCACAGTATCTATTGGGATAACTTGTGTTCTAAAAAACTAACTACTTTTAGGGGATGTGTTTACCTTATTTTTGCTGAAATATTGGGATGTATGCTTTGAAGCACTTTAAACATCAAGATTAAATTATAAAGAATTCAGTTCATTAAAAATGTAGCTATGTATGTCCTTAGTTCTAGGAGCTGGGACTTCTACAGCAGTAAGGAAAAAAACCCCAATACTTGGAAATTACAATAATCATGAGATAGTAACACTGTGTTCAAAAGTCTTTCTTTAGAAAAGCCACATCACTAAACACAGTTACGACCCATGACCTCAGAGAAACCCTGTAAAATATTTTGAGCCTCCTTGTCAGATGCATTTGGATTTGATGGCCAACACTAGTCTAAGGCATAGAGTTGCATAAAATTTGCTCTCCTGGGCATCTAATAAATACAGCATAAATGATGCTTACAATTTTCGTTCTACTTGCACGTTTAAAAAAAACCTTCTGCTTAGGACAATCGAAGTTAAATTCTTTGGTGGTCATTTAAAGAAAAAAGAACTATACAAAGACAATTGATCATTAGTCCTATACTGAGGTAATTTGAGGAGTGCCACAAGAAAGCTGCGTTACAAACAACATTTGCCCATTTTCCCTGCCTAAAACCAGCTCCCTTTTTTTAATGTACTCAGCATAGACCTCTACAGGGACCTGAAGAGATCCTGTTCCATAGCCCATCTTAACACATTTCATATAGCAAGGCTGAAGGTAGTAAAGAGAGTGTATCCTACAATCAGGAAAGCAAGGGAAGTTCTTCTATGTATTCTGTCCGTGAATTGACCAGAAAGATTAACTACGTAGTCTACCGTAACATCTGATATATTAGAACGCTGCCACACGTTAAAATATAGCGTAGCTTACAGAGAAACAAAGAGAAAAGGAAATACAACGTGCAAAGACGTGACAGATGCCATCTGAACTTCATTAAAGGGGTGAATGTCAAGTACATTAAAAAATATATAATCTTTCCATTGTTTGCCTAACTTCCCATTGTTTGCATATGCTTTTCATACAACAGCATGAAAATCATGTCACTTGGCAAAGGGATTTTGGTTTGTTTTTTACAGAAACTCTAATGGAACATAGCCTTTTACTTCTGTTTGTTTACCAGAATAATCAATTATGTCCACAGAGCTCCCAGAGTGGTGCCTGTTGAACCTACAGCAACAAGAGCACATAGTACTATAATTGGATATAAACGAAGCCTGGTTTGGTCCTTTTTATTTTTTTTTTTAATCTTCTTTTTTCAATAAAGCAATGAGGGGAATAGATCTTACTTTCCAAGGGATGATTCCCATCTACTTTCCAAGGGATGACTCCCATCATACTCACAAGAAAGGGAGGGCAAAGCCAGGATGCCGTACTTGACGTTGGCCCCTTCAGACAGGGGAGATGAGATAAGCTTTGGAAAAAACAAATGAAACCTTACTCTGCTGCCTACGAGGAAAACATAAATAGATATTAAGATACTTTTTAACCTGTAAGAAGTGTCAAAGCTACTTGATTAAGTAAAAGTCAAGCGTTCCTCGTGCTGCAATAACACGTTGTTAGGAACAGCAAGCAGACAGCAATTCTGTGCAAGTTTTCTGGCAGGTGGTGCCATATCATCTCATCTCAAACATTTAAGTAGGGTTTTTTGTAGCTATATGCAAATTCTTTTTCTACTAGATTAATATTTTTGTGAAAAATTAACCAGGAAATTCAATTATGAAGCTATGTTTCATTTAAGTAAACTATAAATAACCTTATAATCTCTGGTCTAACGCAGTTTCTAAACAAAGATAGTTTTCATTTTTTAACCTGTTTACATTCATGGATTACTATCTTGCATGTGATTCATCTTTGCATGCATAGTGTAAAACCTTAGAGTTTGTTTTTTGAATTTTTATGATCTACCCATGTAGGAGTGCTGACAAGAAACAAGTTGATGCCTTTGTAAAGAAATGCATACAGAGACATTTTTAAATTAATAGTTAATTAGTAATGAGTAAAAGCTTACCCCACAAAAATCAAATCAGCTGCTACATTTTAAAACTCTTCTTATGTCTGATAAATAAAATGAATTTTCCTGTAAAAAATTTTCATTAATGTTTCAACCTGCTTTTTGAACAATAGAATAAATAAAGCCATTAGTGCCTAAAAGTTCAAATATGCTACAGCTGTTTGAGATAACAGAACAACTACATTAAAATGCACCATGAGAAAATCCTTTATCATTTTTCCATGCAGGAAGCCAATTGATATTTTTGTGAGGTACCGGTCTTTCAAAAATACTCATAAGTTAGTTACCTGATATACCTTCTGTACATGGTATATTTAAAAATCTAACTGTACAGTGTTTCAATCATATATAATGCATATAATCTGCTGAATATGGCACAAATGCTAAGTTTCCACACCCACACATCCTTTGCCGTAGGAACACATTTTAGGCATAACACAACACTGAAGAATAGAAAAGTGCCTGAAACTGGAAAAAAAAAAAAAAAAAAAGCCACTCAAGTAGTAATAAATTAAATCTCATTCAAACCGATATAAAAGTTGTTCAAGTGTTTAAAGTATCAGATGTGTCATGCAACAGAACAACAGACGATTCAGGCAGGCACACCATGCGTTAGTTTGCATTCATGGTATCACAAGGTTATCTCTCCCCCCTTCTGCGTGGCCAGCGAGTGCTGGGTACCTGCGGCACTGCTAGGCTCACGTGTCGAACATCCGAAACCTCTCCGTCTCCTGCGCAGGAGGTTTTACGGAGCTATGCCTCGGAAGGATAACCGGACAACCTCATGCTGTACAGTGGTATCTTGCTGCAGCATAAAGAGAGGCATACTGAGCTGCATGGAAGCAAAGCAATCATTTCTTGGTTATATTTTCCAGTCAGTGCAGTTCACCATAAACCAATCGATTTACCAAAATGTGCTTATCCGAACTGGCCAAGTTTGCACACCGAGAAAACCTCTTCACGGAACATGTCACCTTTTCCTTTTTTTTTTTGGGCACAAATCCTTTTGTAGTCTTGCAGCAAGCTCTTCACCATACAAGAATTCGGAGATACTAGCCTGTACAAACACTGGTGCTTATTCTTCCATAGAGTAAACTACAAAGACAGCCAAGTGCCTGCAACAGCTTTGCCTCTCCAGCAACTTTCCCTTCTCTCTCTACGGAGAGCACCAGCATAATTACACTTCAGACAAAGGGGTGTTCTTGCCGAGCTCTTTAATTCCCTGGAGAATTCGCTTCATATGACCCACTTTCGTTATCCCCAGGTCCTACAGAATAAGAAAAAAAAAAAAAGAGAAAAAGAAGGAAGTTTATTTACAAAAAGGAAAAAAACCACCCCATTGATTATGATCTAACCATGCAACAGATATCTAGAAATGTGCTCACTGCAGTCAACATTAGCCAAAAAAGATTCCGTGGCCCCAGCAAGTGTTGCCTAATAAAATAATTGCTTAGAGCATACAATGAATCCCTCTCTGTCTTGCAGACAGAAAATTACTTACCTGCAATAATGACAACCCAAGGCACTGCAGTATCTGTCAAAAACTTCTTTCACTTGACTTCTGAGTACAAAACCTTTCACAATTTCTGGCAAAAAAAGAACAATCTCCCCCTCCTCTCTAATACAGCAATAATGCTTGGTAGGATGTGATGGATTAGAGCTTCTGTCCAGCAATGTCACTTGATCTGAGGCCCTATGATGTCTGTTTTAATCAACAAACACACATATCCCCAGTTTCTCAAGGGAAAGTGGATGTAATGGCTACAGGCATGTAGGACAACTTCCCTTTAGAGAGCAATAGAAAAGGTAAGCATTTATTTTTCATTCCAAAAAGGTGACGTCTCCCATCATGGATCTTCCTGATTAGAGAGCTGGAAGAAAAGTTCTCAGAGACATGACAGTCACATCCCAAAGGAAAATGTAAAAAGCACAAGCATAAATCTCCTTGTAGCCGCCACTAAAGCAATCACATCAGCTGAAATGTTTCTAATATTGGTTTCTGGGACCCATCTCCGTAGGGAATGACAATAGACAAGAATTTTTTGCAGCAAACCTCTTCCAGTAATAATAACAGCTTTACCAGCATCCCTTTTCAATTTTGACTGGTCCAATGGTCAGAGCAGAATGGGATGCCCAGCTGTGCTAATGATCCCCAACTGTGCTAATGAGTTTTCAGCCCAGTTTGGTGGAAATCTGCTTCCTTTACCTGTAAAGCCCAGCTTTGAAAAACTCTTTAAAATCCTTGTGTTAGTGATGTTGAGCAAGTGACAGAGAGTCAAACACTAGCTACCTGTGTAGAATGTGATTAAATAAAAAAACCCTAGAAGTTTCACTATCTGTTTTTCTGAAATAAAAATAATTTTATTTTAGTTGGAAGATTTTCCATTATGAAGACATTAAAAGGAAAGGAGTCTAATTAAGCAGCTTGAAATAATTATCCTCAGAGTGAAAAATGAAACCATATATAATATTCTGTACATACTCTACACAAAGACTGTATCAACCTTTCTACAGCCAGAAGAAACCTCAGAAAATCTGTGCCTTATATTACTTAAAAGTGTTAGCATGCAATTAATTTTGCATTTCTCCAAAGGAAGAAAGGGGCGGTAAGATGGGCATGTATTAATTATTTTATTGTAAAGGCAGCACAGCACAGATTAAACAGGTGGATTAATTTTCAGAGAGTCTCAAGATTGAATTCTGGTTATGTTAGAGATGAAAAAAACCTGGTTGTTTCTTCAGATGAAAACTATCAGTATGATAAATACGTGACCGTCCTTTCCAGCATTAGGGCACTAAGTTGTCAGCATTAGAGTTCAAGATATGTTCATTATAGTCCCCCAAATCAAGTGCTGTTCATAAACTTATCTGAAAAAAACTTCTGATTTTCCACATCACATCAATTTATATTTCATTTCTGCTAATGCTCATCTCACTTATAAAAAAATGTAGTACTCATTTTTAAGTTAAGAGAGTTGATGTAGGTAGCAGTTGTTAAACTCATCCCACAATGACAGTAATATTTTTCATTTTAGATTTGGAGAATATTTTCTTTTTTATGCTAAACTTAATTTTCCAATGAATCAAAAATACACACGACTATTGAAACTACTGAAATAGCCTAGTTGCTGTGTGGAGGAAATTCTACATAAGGGAAAACCCATAAGGATACTTTCCAAACCACGAGAAGCCACACATGTTAAAGGTTAAGAACTTGCAAATTCTTCAAAACAAACATGTTTCACGAGTAGAACTTCTGTTGGATAAGCAACATAGCGAGATGCTGCCAGACTTCAAAGATCAGAGGAAAGAGTCATATTATGAAATTCCCAGAAAACTCAGCCACTTTTTCCACCAACCTTTACAAAGTATCGTGAACAACGCCTATGTTTCAGAGGCAAGAGATTTCAGTTTTATTTCCATGCCAGTTGAAGTTGCTGTAATGTAGATCAGAACAGCAAGTCTCAAGAGCCTCATCACGCTTTTTGGGACCCTTTTGATAAATTCTGCCACACTTCCAGGGCAAAAAAACCCCAACCAACAAGACAAAAGCTGAATTTTTATGCTTGTGTAATAGTTTGGTCTGGAGGAAATTAAAATTTATACATTCCTGACCCTAGATGCTATCTAGTATTCTCAGTTTACTACTGATGCAGGAAAGTTTGCAGAAATTCTCTCATCTCAGACTAAAAGGATCTGCTACAGCAGCATATCATGCATCATTCAAAAAGCAAGATCCCCAAAGATCACTGCATTTTTGTGCATGCATGAGTTTCATCATGCTCTACATAATCAGTCCATATTTCATTGATATCTAATTAACAAAAATTCAATTTGACCAAAATATGGGTTTGAAGACAAGACTCTAGCCAGTCTGAGGAAGAGAATAGCCTTTCTTTTTCCCCAGCTGTGGCCTTAAAACCACAGGATCACCTCTCCTTCTGCTCTCCCTAACCACTTTGCCATCTCTGGACCTACAGCAGGTAAGGCTCAAAAAACTGAAAAAGAAAAGAAAAAAAAAAAAAAAAAAAAAGATTGGACAAGAAAAAGCTGATGAAAATTCTTGCAACAGCTTTCAGGAGTTCTTCATCTGCATTATATTATGGTGACTTAGGCCCCTGTCTGCTTAGCCAAGAACCCATTTATTCCAGGTTTGCCCCACAGATTTTGGCCAAATGTACCACCAATGTAATATTACCAAACAATTTATATAACCACTCCTTAATATTAACATCTTCCAGATGAGAAAACTCCCCTACTTGCATTCCCAGTGTCAAAAGCCATCTAGCATGCCTGAAGTCTACCAAATCTTAGAAAACATTTTCCATGCCAGAACTTTCTCAAAACACGCTACTGCGAAACACAGAGATGAAATGCCGCAGTCCTCAGCACAGACTTCAGCTTGACCGGCACTGCTGACATGAGGCATGGAAACCCTTTCTCCAAGGAAACCAGCATTGCTATGGAGCTCTAAGGAGACATCGTCTTTGTCCTACCAAACGTGTTGCAGTTCTGATTATTATTGTGTACATAGGAACATCGTTATCAATGCTAAGAATGCCAGTATTTATTTCAGAAAAATCTGAGTCTAGTTTTCAATGCGTTAGCTTGTAAAATAAAGTTTAAAAAAAACCAAACAGTCATGACAAGCTTGCTTTCTACAGCTTTTACGGCATAGTTTGCAATCCACTACTCAGCCTTTCCGCAAGGGAAAGAAAATCACATGGATGTAAACGTCTAAGATTCCCCTAAATAAAATCAGGCATAGGAGGCTGGAGAAAGGGTATTACTGCAGGGGCTGGATGGAAAGAGGTGTCTGGTTTCTCTTGGAGGTGTTTTCCATTTGCCAGTTGCCACACAGAGCTAACTGAGAATGGGATGCACAAGCTACACAGAAATATATATAATTAGAGGTCCAATTCTTCAGTGAACGTATCAATCTATTTCAGTGATGCGTGCAAAGGAAGAGTTTCATCAAATCCTTTTCCGTACTGCTTTTTGCCTCTACTTTTGACCACAGAAAGAAAGGTGGGCCCAAAGGATTCAACTGAAACAGGCAACGATTTTTCCTGTTGTACACATGAGAAGTAATAGAAGTAAATCTATTGCACATGACTTAAGAGCTTGTGAATCAATGGCGAGCCCATTTAGCTTGGCAGGAAGCACAAACCTTGCACTCGAGGAGAGGCTGTAGACAGATTATAGCTCGCAAGAGCACTGAAGACTCATCTCGATAGCCAAAGGGAGGAAAAATTAACAGAGCAGCTGGTGACGTGTTCCTCATGGCCTAGGTACCACATTACACGTCTTGACACCAATTCAGGTCACTGGTCAGAAAACTGCAGGCTCCCCGAGCCATCTTTAATGGCTCCCTGCAGAGATCATGCCCCGTATGTAACGAACAGGACGAGTGCTAAACTCTGCTATTTAAATTCAACGTTGCTACATAGAACGCAAGCCATGCTTGGCCAAAAGCCTGGCCTGCCTTATGAACAGCGCTGCTTTGGAAGCTCTCGGCATCGGCTAACGAGCAGATAGAGCGATTCTGGAACAAGATTTCCGCTAGCAGAGGATATACCCGTGGCAACTTGCGTAGAGCAGCTCCTCGTCCAGCTATGCTGAGCAATTTAAAGCCTCGTATGTGCTTCCAGGCAGCCCTGGTAGAGGGGACAGTAAAAGTCTGTCTCTTTGTAGGTTCTAAGACAGGCTTTTAGATATTTCAGGGCATAGGTCTTTGTGATGGGGTTTTATTTATGCTGAATTAGCATGAGTCTTAGCAACAGGGATAACAGGTTGCTGATTACCCTGCTGCAGATATTTACTTGGTTGAAGAGCCAGTCTTCTGGGCATGCAGTCAAAGTGATACCTATGAGAAATGAGGCATGGCCAGAAGCCACGTCTAGGTTAACACTGATCTTACCCACCATCATTTATTCGAACAAATTTGACATCCTAATTCTTTTTTAAGATTTCTTAACATTTTAGCAAACCTATGCATTGTGTGATCCTGAGTTTCCTAGTTAAGTTTTAAACTTGTTCAGTGCCCATTCAGAAGAGGGACTTGTAACATCTAGCACGGGAACATAGTGGTGGATTGCTTGGACAGTTTTCTATTTCTAAATTTTTGCAGGTAGGGAGTGTCCTGAAACTCTCCCTCCATGCCAGGAACTATCCAGAAAGAAAGGAATTTACCTTCCATGAAAAAAAGCTTAGGTGATCTAATACCATAGGGTAAATTAATACACAACAGCCAAACAGATCATCTCAAACACAGCTATCTTTGGCAGCTGCCTTCTACTGCAACAGTCACACAATGCAAGCACTACCTTATAACGTCAGGATTTCATACTATATAAGAAACTTCGCAAAAAATGGCATATTTGTATGAAAGTATTGCCTCTATCTGGAGACTACTGCACTGTGGCTAGAGCGATGACTTGCACTCTAAATGTAAATGTGTGCGATTTATACAATAGCCTCTTTCCTCTCTTATGTGCTAAAAGCAGTTGCAAAACACATTATCAAGAAGTCATTACTACTGAGTTCCCGGAAAAAAGTAATGTAATGAATCCCCAAAGATATAGCCTCTATTACATATAATGGATGCACTTAAGTCATTCTTGAAAAAGACCAGCAAGCTCAAATAACAGCCTCAGACTGCTAGGTAACATTTCTCCCTGCAAAACTTATCAATCTGACCTCAGAGGAAGAAAGTTTTACAATTTTGGAGTCAAAAAAAGTGCTCTTTTTTAGATGTCTACAGCTAAAATCAGGCAGAGGTTGGTCAGGGACGAGAAAACCTATTGCAGAGGTCTATTTTGACACACAAACACCAACACCATGTAAGTCCAATGACGCAATTTATTAAGCTGCTTCTCTCTCTCACACCCACTATATCCAATATATATACAATAAATCACCTGAAGCAGGTCAGCTGCTCGTAGCTGCTGACCTTGCAGTAGATAGATTCAAAATTATTATCATCACCTTCAACTGATTCATACTGATCCTGTTTAATGGAAATGGTGAACTCTTGAAGATAACATTATATTACATTGATGTCAGTAAGATATCAAATGTGCTTTTCTTATGCCTTCTGACATAAACCATAATGCTATCAATTTGCAAAGGAAGTTTTGGATAACAGATATTCTTTGTTGCGAGTACAAGTCAGCACTTCAGAAATTCAGGCCAAAGGACAGCGCGTATTAGTTTATTGCATATTTGCACAGTGTAAGCCAAGCTACAAGCACATAACAAGTGCAGGGAAAGAAGAAAAGTTGGTTGTTGTTTTGTCAAAGAAAATGGTCAATAGCAGAAAAGTAGCACAAAGGAAATACCTTAAGATCTCGCCTTTCCAGATGTAAAAGCTCAGAGCCTCGGATGTCATGGCTGATGAAGATTTCTTTGTACTCTCCCAAACTGAGCAGATCCAGCCAAGCAGCAACTTCATCTGTGCCCCATTTTTGAACTACCAAAGTTAAGAGCAAAACCCCCTTAATTTCTACATGCTCAAATGCATCACAAGCAAAGGTTAGGCCAAAGAGAGTGGAAAACAGAGTAGAAATGCCGTGCTAGCAAAGGGAAAGGTTAGAGGTGTCATTTCCACAAAAACTGACAATTTCCTTTTTACATGCAGGTTACAGGTTAGCAGTTAACATGAGAAAGTATCTAAACAAAGTTGGGGTTCTTTGCTTTGCAGCCATGCTTTCAGCTTTACTCCAGTTTCTTCAGTAAAGCCTTTAAAACCTCATGTCCCAACAAATTCACATTAAACCATCTTAGGATCAGTGACGCAAAGTCTAATGTTGTTCTGCTTTATACCATTAATTATTAGCAGTCATCCAGGGAGAGGAGAAGCCTTCAAAAACTAATTAACATGTAAAATTAAAATATCAACCATACGTCAAATATAGCAATGGCAGCAAGCAAGTCCAGTTTTAATTAACAGACTCTAATATTCTTAATTAATGCAACAAGTATTCTTTAAGCTACTGTGTTACATAGGCCATTAAGCAGCTCTCTGTAAAACATTGTTCTCTAAGGTTAGTTGCCCACATTAGTCCTAATAAGACCACATTTATTGAAAACAAAAATAGTTATGCTACTTATTGCTATAATTTTGCAACTTCATTCAATGCTGATCAGTTTTACAATGAAGTGAAATCTGAAGTCTAATCTGAAACCTAAAGTCTGATCAACAACTGCAAGATTTTGCAGATCATGACCAACTGTCCATTAAAAAGATAAAGATGTAGAAACAGTTTTAGGACCATCTGATCACTGATTAACTCCTGGACATAATCTTAAGGAACTAAGTTCATGGATAAGAGTGGGAAGAGAGGAGAGTGGAGTTTGTTCAACTTCTAATTAAAAAAAATCAATATTGTCGATCCTGGCTTTTTGTTTGATTTGCCTCACTCACTAATATTAAAACCCGTCTGAAATTTAAGAATAACTGGTTAATTAAACCAGTGTGATAAAAGCAATTGCACATCTTCTGAAACTAACCTGAAAAACCTGAGTTGGAGCTTCACAGGGAAAAAGTGTGTTTACCTATGGCTTGTATTGCAATGAGTTAATCAAATGTAACCACCAGCAAAGACACAGGTCCTGTTGCATGATAAAACTATCTAAATATTTCTGTAGTGGTTCTTTGGCTCACTTGGAAGTCTTGGGGTCCTACCGAATGCTTTCTAAATGCACGGAAAGAAATCCTCACCCTAATGAAGATGCTAGTTAGCTCAGTTGCTTTTCACTCTGATCTTACTCTTAGGTAGAGTTCATCATGTCACCTCTTACCAAAAAAACCCCCAAAAATCACATTTTCCCCAAATGCTACTATTTTTCTTGTAATTTCAAAACACATACCAGGCTGCGGGCTGGTCTTATGCTTCTGAACTTTTTCTTTTTTAAACTTTGGCACTATGCGAAACACTGTACTTCTATTGTTTCTTTTAGCATAATCCAGAGGGGGATCCTGCATGAAAGAAGAGACATAAGTTACCTCTAATTAACAGAAAACAACAGTTAAATTACATGCTTGAGATGGTAATTCACAGTTAATCTCAAAAATTAAGACCAAATTTTACTTCCGTAAAGAATAATGTCAGGATTTAACTCTATACACGTTTCATTTATTAAATAACCATTCAAAACCTTTACATTCACAAAAGGGAACAAAACACGAAAAAACCCCTAAGCTTAGAAGCTTGTTCACAGCAGACGGAAATGATCCAGCATCACTACTGAAATTGCCTCTCCAGGTCATGAGGGATTCTAACTTACTCTTCCCTATCAAAAGAAAATTAAGCTTAATTAGAAACAGGAAGTATTAATCAAACTCACCTCATCATCATTTGGTTGAAAAACATAATAAAGCCAAGGAATCTCAGCAAGTTTTCTCAACTCTATTTCCACGCTGTGCAAAGCATCAGACAACAGTTCTTCATGGGGAGCTTCTAACTGCTGTTTATAAACAGGCCAGAAAAATAGTATTTTTAGTTTTATTAAGATATAACATTTAAATCCAGACATGTTGTTACCACACAAAAACAGATGACTACTTCACGGTGAGCGTAAACAAATGATGAAAACAAATAATCTTCCAAAATTAGATTTTCCTTCAGAGATGCATCAGACCACCTTGACACTATATTCAGTATAGTCGCACACAAAGGGATGATTGAGACAGCTGAGACTTTTTGGTGCAGACCAGCTGGACCTAGCTGTCAATCACTGTCATCGTTCACTGCGCTCCTAGGTCTTCACAGAACAAAAGTTATCTGATAACACCAATACTAGAAAACACACTTGAAATGGAAACTACCAGCACAAGGGAGATAAAAACCTTACCAGAAGAGCAAGAGCCTGGAAAATCTTTGTGTGAAAAGTGGTGTAAAGAAATTGAATAGATGGTAGTAAGCCTGAGTTCTTATTTGCAAATGACAAATCTTCATATGACAGATCACTCTCGTGGTCAAGTAAGAGGATATGGATCTTGCTGAAGACGCTCCATCCTCAAAGGTCTTCCAGTGGTGATATGATACCTGCGCTACCCCTTCTAAATAGGTGAGCCATGCAGCGGTAGCCACTGCTGCTGGCTGAGGGTGGGAAGAACGGGGACCAAGCATGGAAGAAGGACACGACTGCAGCCCCAGGTGGGAGACAAAAAGCCAAAGACATCAGTGAAGGCCAAAGAGGCAAAGAAAGTGGTAACTGTAAAAAGCTTGGGACTTGCTGACCTATAGGAATTTGGCTCTGTCAACACTTTGAGAACCTCATGGAGGTACCAGTTTTCCTTAAAACCCCGGTCTGAAAACTATTCTGCAGCTGTTGTGTGAGTTGAACCCATGAAGAAGACGTAAGACAGGCAGCTGATCCCTGGAAAAGCTGTTTGGGGCTTATCTGGCATTGCTGAAACACCATTTGAGGTAAAGAGTTGAATCCTGGAACGAGTTGCTTGTAATCACTAATAAAGCGATCTGAACATCTATTTCTCTCTTTGAAGTAGTCCCAAAGCAATGCAGAATATCCTTTTAAAACGATCTAATTAAGTTATATCCTAGTGAATACATTTTAAAAATGGAGTTGTAAGAGAATCTTTGATCTCTAGTGCTGGAAAAAGATTTTGATGTTGTTGGGGGTTTGCTGATGAATTACAAGCCCCTATTAATTTATCCTGCCTAACATAAACTTCTTTCCTTTGTTTCACTAGTTTGCATACGTTACCACCTTTCAAAGAAGAGACCACCTTTAGTAAGATATTGCTGTTTAGTATAGTAATACTGGAAATCTAAGCTCCCTCTTGCTGTCATGTTATTTCCTCTTCTAAAGCTCACAGAATTCAGTGCCCATAAGCAGACTCCAATCTTTCTTTTGCCTTCCCTTTTTTTTCTCAATTTGAACAGTTCAGTTAATTTGGAGCACAGTGGAAGACCCACTTGTCTTTGAAGAAGTTAGAACTTCTCTTGTGTTTTCATTTTTAAGAAATTATTTAAGAAGTCATTTATTTTATATAAATGAATGAAGCAAAGTTCTGTCTTTCTCAACAAGCACTTGCCTAATTGCTTGATTCTAAAAGGAAAACAATTCCTTTTTTTGCTTGGGCCCAAAAACCCTCTCATCTGATGGCGAGAAAGTGTATGCATTGGCAATATTGCTCCTGAAATGAACCCAAAAGAGTAGTGTAATTCTGGTAAAGGAAGAGTTAGCAATTTAGGGTTAATTCTCCTCCTACAACATCTTGGAAAAGCTTCTTATTTCCAAGATGGAAATTAACACTATGAATGAAACAATGAAAATAAAGGATTGTCTCAATTCCTTCCCAAATGAAATTTTTAATATGAAAATATTTTATTTCAGTGAGCTCAGATCATTTCAGTCAGTTGAAATGAAACATTCTGTCATATTTCTCCCTTAGTACATGGGAAAATGTGCTCTGTTCCAGACTGGAAATGCTTTTTAAAAAGCAAGCATGGAAACAGTGCCTTTGGAAAATATCTAGACAAAACATAGTATTTTTTATTTTTCCCAAACTGTATTCTAGCCATAACCATCTGGGAACTTCCACAAATCAGCTTCATTTTCCCATCTTATCATTTCACTAAAAATGGTATTTATAGCTAATTCGCCATTTGATGTCATCTAGCTAATACTGTTGTGTGAACTTTTGTTAATTGTATCTTACAGGAGGTGGCAGGAATCAGTCTCCTTCTATATGTATTTACATTTCTTTTGTCTCCTTCAGGAGCCGTAACAGAAAGACTCAAGAGCCGGTAAATGGCAATCAAAGAAGCAGCTTACCAAGTAGTATATGCAACAAAGGCATCAATTTACTGCTATCAGGAGCTTTGATCACAGAAAAGAGGGGTGAGGGAGAATTGAAGAAGAAAAAAAAAAAAAAAAAAAAAAAAAAAAAAAAAAAAAAAAAAAAAAAGGAAGATATTAAAGAAACAATGTCCGTCTTTGTCAGAAAAGAGACATAATTTAGAGAACAGTGTATGATGGCAGCAGCTGATGCATCAAGCAACACCCTACATTTCATCTGTCTCTGTTTTAATAGAATCAGGGACCAACATACACGCAGCTTCAGCATTTATAAAATAACATGGCGATAAGGTTAACCAGGGTGCCTTGTTATTGTGGCTGTGAAATACTGTTCTAAACAAACACAATGTCAAAGGAGCGTAATGGACATTTCTGGAAGATTATCTCGGTATCTTCCAAACGGCCTTTTTATTAAAAATGGGGTCAATGTAGACTCATGACTCATTTGCACAAACCATAATGAGAAGCAGAAGTACAACATGTAAAAATCAGAAATGGACAAATGAATCAAATTAAGCTTTGGAACATCAACAAGGGACCAGTTCAACAACATAATGAGATCACAACTGGCTACAGAAAAGGTAAGGTTTCAATGGGAAGGTTTCCATACTAACATTCTTTCCAGACTGCCTTGATAAATTACACTAGTCCTAGCATGGCACCACCAACTTAAAGCTTTTCTTCTACTTCCTTTTCCTAAACAATTTTAAAATTTAAACAAATTTCTGTATTTTGATTCCCCATTCAATCTGAAATATGGGGAATTAGTAATAGCCATTTGAAAAAAACTGATACTTTTCCCTTTTCTTGGACAAAAACATCTAATGAGTAACTTTCCCTTCTAAAACCTCATAAACTGAATCATATGATCCAGTAATAATCTCTGACTGTTTCTAGAACTTAAATGCTTATTAGCCTTTAGACCATATTAACTTTACGTTACTGTAGAATAGACACGTACTATTTATCACTTGTGGAAAAAGGTATGTGAACCTGCACCAGTAAGTTTCATACCCTGAGCTAAATGAAAACATTCCTATTGATATCCATTTTTAATTATAACAGCCAAAGAAAATATAACTGTTCCTATTGAGTATCTTCTTAATGTAAAACTGGACCAGCATAGAAAACCTGACATCTTTCTTCTCTTCACAATGTCACATGTAGAAATTTTCTAATTATACATCCAGGTACAACAATTCTTGAGCAGTCTTCATCATTTCAGGCACAGAAACACTAGCTGAAGAAGAAGATGCAAAGTCTGCAAGTACCATCAGAGGTCCACTGAACACTTACCAGCTAAAGGTTTTAATATAATTCCTGCCAGGTATTAGAACAACAGTGAGATTTACTTGCCCACATCAGATCTGTAGAACTTGAAAGTATGAGTCTGAACAGCTCTCACTCCAGGTTGTCTTTAAACTCTGAAGATGGTCACATAATAGAACTCCAGAAGTTCACTTAAATGCTAAACCTCCAGAAGATGATTTATCTTTTTCTGAGATAGGCCTCCAAGACAGTTAAGTGTGAATCAACCTCAACAGGGATACTTTTTTCTCTCCACTGACTATTAAAAAGAAGAGCCCAGGCAATGACCTTTTAGATATCTGACGTGAGGCAAGATGGATGCCAACCTAGGACAAGAATTCATAACTCATTCTGATCCAAGCCACAAATGCAGTGTAATATCCTCCAATCGGTCTTACAGGGCTTCTTATAGCATGCCATAAATCCTGTGCTGATTTAAAAAATCAGCAAAGAACAAATCACAGGTAATCTGAATGAGGGAATAAAACCATGTATTTTGTGACCTTACCAAAGGAACTCTTCCTACTAGCAGAGATTCAGTTTCATTATGTAGGGCCTTCACATTGACAGCTATCTCCATGGCAGTGTTTCTGGTAAGGCTCTGGGGAATAAAGAAGCATAAAAATTATTTGAAGTGATGCAAGTCAGAATGAGAATAAGTACTTTGGGCTTACAGCACAGATCTTAAGCATCTTCTCCTAGAAGAAATACATCAGTTTAGCTTTACACTGACAACTTCTTCGGCACTGAGTATAGAAAACAAAAATATAGTATCTGTTTACTGTCTTTTCCTCAACTTCATTTAAAATGACCTTATACAATCCTGAAGATCATCAAGTGACCAGCCACCTGTGAGACGAATCCATGATTTTTATGGATGACAAAGGCCAGCAGAAAAGTTCTGGGCCTCATTTAACAACGACTGTTGATCTGAATTGTTCACCTTATCCTTAGCAGAAGTAAGCTCCTAACCATATTTTAAGAAGCAAAGGCTAATTAATATATTTACCGTATGAAAATTTAGGTTAGATATCGACAGCCTCTACCTAATTAATCTTTTTTGGGTCCAGTCCCTGAAAACACCCAGATTGTCTAGTGTGAAGAGAGAAACCAGGAAACTCTTTTCCCCTCACTCCCTTTGCAATCTCTGCATAGCACTTGGATAACAATTAAGCATGAAAATTTCTGTGAATGCATCCAGAAGAATCGACCTTTATGTAGTAACAGCATTTGTTCAGCCTTTGTCATGCCTCCACTCTGTGTCTGGGGACATGCCTACACAGTTGTCCGCAAGCAGATGTGAGCTTACTTTGCCTATTGTTTTTGGTGTTTGCTGACCTGAGCTTGTTTTATTCATGCTCAGAGCTACATTAGTACACCACCTCACTTGATTTAATAAGTGCTACTGCATCACTTCAGGATGAGCACCCCTGGCTGTGGACTACCGTTGCAGATGGAGCAAATTCTTGACTGCTTCCAAAAGGCAACAGACGTACACTTACCGTGCCCCTACTCCAAACTCCCTATCTCGCTTTCGAATGCTCACTCCCCCTGCAACAACACCCAGGTGGTCTGCATTTTAAGTGTCATTAATGTCCCTTTCTAACGTCCAATGTTCACAAAAGAGAATATCAGCTGGGGAGGACGCTGATGAATACAGAAACTGCACTTTCTGCCTTTTCAGATATTGTATTGATCTAACACCAGGATAGGACTCTCCTCTTTGATACTCTTCTGTAAAAAGGCACTTCTCCTACCTCCCATTCCTGGTATTATTAATAAATTTCAGAATCATTGAACATGATCTCTACCAAATTCATCAGCTATGGGGTGTTTCCCTATGCATGTGAAGGGCTGAGACTCCCTGCTGCCATGCAGAGCAGCACCTTCAGAACTGGAAGTAACTTTCCCTTTACTTTCACCTTAGAAAAAGTGGCAAAAAAAGGGAGAAGATACCGCAAGATACAACATCCATTCATCTGTTAAGCAATTCCATTTAAATTTGAGTGTGTGTATGCATATTCAGGAGACTCGTTTATCAAAAATTTCAAGAATTATCATCCAACTTGTTTTAATATGGGGACAGGGAATACAATACAGCTCACGTGTCACAAGCTTATGCACACAGATATTATAGCTTATTTGCTTATACATAAATCTCTGTTCTTCCTTTACCTCAGGAAACCTTGGGTTGGCTTTATTTAATGCATGTGAACATGCATTAACAGCATGAGCAAGCTCCTGCTCCAAGAGGCCATGTATTTTTGCTGCTTCACAGATCCTACAAAAACATTAAAAAAGAAAAAAATATTTCTTACTTCCTTTAAAGAATAAGTCTTAAGACTACACAACTTTATCAGATGAGAAAATATACAAAGATATGTTTCACAAAACACTTTAAAAAAAATATAGTCCTTTATAACAAAAGTTGAAATAAAGTATCTCTTCAAGCACTACAGCACCTCATATAAATGTTATACATAATGCAGATCATTTATTCTCCTATGAAATACTGAGACACATTTATTTGTCTTAGAACACAAAAGCTACGCAAAAATTGTACCAAAAAATATTGGGGCTATTAATTCAAATAAACTATAGAGGAAAACCTTAGCACATTAAGATAACTTACTTGAAGTTACCTTAAAAACCATTACACCTATTTCAAAAGGCATATCCTTCATATGTGACATTAAAATTGGCTGCAATAATTTGAGATTATGGGAAGTCCAGCTGTAATTACAACCTCAGGACAATCTCTAGAACAGTAAAGTTTTTAAGCTGTCTTGGTTAAATTTCACTTTGGTTAATTTATAACCTAAATTATTCTTCTATGTCTACTTAAGTGACCAGTACAGTATAAAAAGAATTCTTCAATTCCTTTCTTATATTATCAGTGCATCTCAACACATACTCCAAGAATTCATTTTGATGCTTGAGATAATTTGTTATCATGATGAACTGAATAGCAGCTTTATAAAAGGTTCTGACTTTTTTAAAAATATGCTTTTCTTAAAAAAACTAGGGTTTTTTTTTTTCCTCTTAAAATTGAAGTGTCTTCTTTATTAAAATACTTCCATCTCAGGAAGAATGTAGATCTTGAAAATAAGTAAGGCTGTGGAATCAGTTTTATACCATCAGCTCACTATCGTCTCAGCCCACACAAATTACTGAAGTGTCCAGGGGCACAGAGATGAGATTTTGAGCATTAGGAATGAAATAGAAAGCTGCAATAACAATGAATGAGTGGATGAATGCAAACGGTATGAAGATTTTATCTGGCAATTTGGGGTCCTTGAATGTTGGTGTGTTAACTGTTTACTTGACAATATTTTAATAAAACTTTTACGTTTATTGAAAAGTGCTCATCTTTTTGAAATTGTGAGTAACAGGCATTAAGGGGAAATAAGGTCAGGAGAAGTTAACGTGAGGTGGATACATCCACACTGGTGACTTCTGAAGTTGACTTCTAAGGGTTTTTTTTTTAATAAATATATTTTTGATTTTGCATACGAGAAGTTTCAATGAAAAGCCTCTCTGCCAAGAAGCTTTCCAGTTTTCCATTTCCACTGCTCCTTCAGAAAGTCCATTTTCACAAAAAAATCCCCACCCATAAACACACAAAAATAAAATTAACATAAATACATAAGAAAAGCATACATAAAGAAGCTGAGCCTTAAAAATAAATTAAAATAAAATAAAATTTAAAAAATAAAATAACTGATAGAGCAGCAGCTAAACATTAATCAAAAATCAGGGAAAATATACACTTCTAAGTCTATGTATGCATTTGCATGAATAATTCAGTCTTGGTGTCTAGGTTGCCAATCCAAACTTACTAATTTTACTGTACCTGGTAATAAGTTCTTCTGCAGCTTGTGAGCACAGCTGGATCTGTGCAACTTCGTCTTCTGTAGCCAACTCAACAGCCTGCTGAGGGTACAAGGGAGATCGAATGACAGGTTTACAGGAATCATACTTCTGTTTGTCTTCCCAAGACTTCAGGGTGTTTTCAAAGGCCTAATCAAAATGAATTATACATTCAGTTCACAGCACTAGGAGTATTCTTACTTATTAAAAAATATAATTTTATATTTTATATAAATTTCTTAAAATTTTAGATTAAATTAATTTAACAAATAAACAACTTTTAAATTTAACTATAATTTTAAATAAGACAAGCTGTATAAATAATAAAATTACATTTAATTTTTTTAAACTTAGTATAGAAAATAAGTCACTTCTGAAAGCTCTCTCTCCTCCCCATTATCCTCAAAAAGTGTCTTCCAAAACAATAAGAACACAAAGACAGTGATAATACAAGCATATTTTGTGCAGATAGCAAGATGCAAATCTGAAACTAACACAGGATTCAAACCTAAAAACGGTGGGAAAAAGTAACAAGTTTACTAAAATAGAGTTCAAATGCCACTAACTCCACCCTAAATTCAAAATCCAGTTAGTGGATGGAGAACTCAGGGGCAGTTACGCCTTTCACACAGTAATCCTAGACAAGCGTGAACTCTCCAGTGGCTTTGTGAATAAGTTCCTGCTTGTGCCTCTTCTGTCTGAGACTGAGTCATGGGGGAGAGGGAGGATTAGTAGGACAGAGAGAGACAGGAGAGACATCTGCTGAAAGTTATTCTGAAAAATGGGCGTTATAGAACTTTGCTGTTTATGCAACTGTGCTAAAACTTCTAGTATGTGATTGTGTGTAATACACCTAAAGAAAAAGAAAGAAGAAAGAAAGAGACAAAAAGAGAGAAAGAAAGAAGGAAAAAAGAAAGAATATATAAAATTTTGACCATTCTTACTATATATTAATGAGAATACAGGAATAACACTAACAAAACTTGATAAAAGCTAACAAAGCTTTGTCACTTATACAAAACAGGAATTCTCTATCTGGCTTATTATAGAAATTATGTAACTGTAAGTAATTATGTAAGTTATATAAATAGTTGTAAAATATTTCTGTAAGCACTGTTTTGTTCGGGTTACAACAATCAAATTATTACAGAAACCAATGTTAGTAATGATATCTCATAACACACTTTCTGCAACATACTCTGTCTCGCGTTAGCATCTGAGCTCTGTTTTTATGTATGATCTTAATAACTCCTGGGGGCTGGATCCATGCCTCTCCATCAACTTGCACTGGAACGCCTTCATCACCAAGTATGGTGATCTTTACCGACCGACACTGGAAAAGAACAAACACGTTATTTTACAGAGCAATAAATACTAATGAAACCGACAGGCCACCTGAAATGTGTTGATTACCAGGAGCTGTGGCTTCCCTCCAGGACTGTCTCAAGGATGAATCACTTTTATACCTCATTCATCATTGAAGACAATTTGTTACCCGTTTAAAATTAAAACAATGTCAGCACTTTATTAATGTATAGGCTGGTGGTCATCAAGAGTACCACTGTTTGCCAGCATCCCAAACTGCTGCCAACCATGTTGCATGCTTTCAAGTAAGAAACAAACCTGAGCTATCCTGTGGTGCTGCAGTTTGATGACTCTCGAAACTGCCATCTGCATGCTGCCAAATACCGCAACAACTTCTAAGATTTTATCATCGAACGAGGGAGCCCCAAATATCTGAAAGGAAAAGAAAATATTCCATTTTTGATGGTAAATCTAGTGCTTAGAGTGCATGTTCAATGAAACACAGACTGATTTACAGATTGTCAACATTTACATGCTGTAACTTATTTACTGTAGAATAACTACACTGTCTCTCAAAAGTCATAGGAGTGAGATACTGTAGACAGTAGGCTAATACTATTTTAAAACAGCAATGCTAATAGCATTTCAAATATCTGAATAATGAGGCATATCCTTATATAGGAAGGATGGCATGTTTCAGCGTGCAGACTAAGAAATGTTTTTCAAGGCATGATGAAAAGCCAATTCAAATCTCTGCTTGGTTAATGTACTTAATATCTAAGAGGTTCTTGAAGTTAAGAGGAGTAATGGTGTCTTTTTTTCTCAGAAGTGCTTATCTACTTATATTCCAAATTCTCTGGAAACCAACATCTGAGTCCACGCTCGGCTTTGTTAAACACAGCTTTCATACTGAAGAGGATCTTGTTTGCGCTCTATACAATTACCCACTGTAAATATGAAAACTGCTTCTGTATGGAACAAATGTCCTGATAGCCAGCCAAGACATTGAATTTCCAGGAGCTTACACGAAGCGCAGAAAGTCTCATGTGTGCCATTGCCACCCGGTGTCCTGCAGGGCAATTCAGCCATGCCACGGGACAAGTCTTAGGCTGGAGTTCAGCTGGGTCTGGCAGGAGATACCATACTAAGACCACTTGAAGCTTGACCATTTCATCCTGATATGCAATACGGAGCAACGAGGGAGCAAAATCAGCAGGAGAAATCACTCCACTAAGAGTTTAATGGGTCAAGAGATCACCTCTGAGCAGTAGTCAGACTACGTCGGTTGGCACCTCGGGCAGAGTAAGCTGCATCAGATACCCGAGACCAGACTGGGGAAAATCCCTGAAAGGAGCCCAAAAGCCACAACTAGTCAGGTCCTGTCTCCTGATAGAGAATTTCCTGGAGGCAAAGAATAAGAGGGTGCAGATCCAGGACTGTGTAATCCAGGTAGTGTCTCTGCAGCAATGGCTCAGGGAGGGAGAGGATGGGGAACAGGGTGAAGGACTTTGGCCCCTGCTGCTGCTTCTCGGGAAACTGTGCCATAGTTTAGTGCCACATCCAGGTGGCATTTCCCTTCAGAGCACCCCAGGACTGCACAGAGAGGTCTTGAGCGGATAAGTGTCAAAGAACAAAAGTGCAATTTTACTGGGCCTAGAGTGTTTTGAAGAAAAAGGTTTCTCCATCTGAATTTTTCCAATTTCCATGGAAATTTTTCTAGTTTTCACATGGGGATGTGACAATCTTGAAAAGAACAAAGACAGTGATTCTGTTATTCCAAGGTAAAAAGTATGGACGGTCCTTGATCCAGCTTTAACAAGTATAACTGACATCTACAGGGCTAGTTCTGCATGGCTTAAGAAAAGGTAGTTGTAAAATTTCATTTATTTTTTGCTTCCATTTTAGCAAAAGGATGGGCAAACCACAACCCAGTCTGCTGTGCCTCTCCACCAGTAAGACATCTGTACTGAAAACCAACTTTTTTTTTTTTTTTTTTTTTAAATAAAGGCAACCAAATCTCTACAGATCAATGTTCAAGAAACAATTCTATCCTTTCCTGTTGCAGGTCATGTTTCCAGCCTGTCTTCTGGACACCAAAAAAGCATGCCGAAACAAGCCCTGCTCAAGTCAGTCAGCGTGCAGCTGCGCTGCTTGGCTCACCGATAATGTTTCAGGAATAGTCACAGCTGCCAAGGCAACATCTTTCTTTTGTCCAGATAAGCAGAACCAGCAGCACTTCAGACCACCACCACCACCTCTGATGATCGGTCAACTCAAGACTGCACTAAAGCAGTGAATTACGCTCCTAACTCTGTCCAGAACAAACATGTCATTTTGCTGGCACATCTCATCACCGGAAGACTAAGAATATCAGTAAAACTGCTCCAAGATACACACATTTGTTGTACACCAGTATGACAGCTAGAACAGATCTTCTCTCTCAGTGAGGCAGTCCAGAGAGAAAAATAAACTCCTGAACAGGAGCTGAGCAGATGTTGGAGATGCTTTCAGGTTATGAATTTGAACATGGAGTATATAAAAACTTTAGATATCCATAGCCAAATATAAACACAACTGCCATCCTCTGACATATACCAAAAATAAGAAAAGATCATTGAAACATGTTTAAATATTTTTGTGACTTTTATGTATGTGTGTGTATATATATATAAAAGCAAAGGATAATAACTCACAAGAAACCAAAAGCATTTTGGCAAAATATCCTGGATTGTCTATATTAAAATCACAAGCTAATTTGCCACTACAGTTTTAGGTGATTCAGACCTCACACACACGAAATCAGGACATGCAGAACTAGGATAATCTGCTCGAAATGACAGCAGTTGCACTGTGTGTGAAGTGGATGGCAGCAATAAGACTGCTCCAAGTTGTAAGACATTTAGGTATCTGTGTAGTGTAAAGTTTCTTAGGACATGTGAGGAAGAAGGGAAAAAAGATATCTTAAAATATTTCAGAAGCTCATTGAAAATAGTATTTAAAAAACAGATTACTACCCCCACTAAATTATCAGTCACTAAACGTATCAGTCCCCATTTTCTGAATCACCATCCCTTAGTCCAAAGCTGTTTGAAGAACAGGAGGAAAATTCAGGTATAAACTGTGAGTCATTATCCTTGTCCACCTTGCTTATTGTTAGAATACAGCAAACAGAGGAATCTATGCTTTGTGAAACCTTATTTACAGGAGTTTGTAAAACAATATATAGAGAGAAACTATTTGTGTCTCCATTTATAAAATTAGTTTCTAAAAATACTCATAGGGTGATTTTTTAAAAAAAATAATCATTAAGCCCTATTATGAACATTTTACTGGAATGGACACAACAGAAGGCAACAGACAGTAAAAAATCATGGGATATATTTTCAATAAAAAAAAAAATCAACAAGACAACACAGTTTAAACTGAAACAGCCTCCCTGAAGAAGAGTTGCTATCCAAACTATATGCTACTACCATTAAAATGAAATGGGAAGAGCAGTTCATGGTATTTATTGCTGGTTTTGCCCAGAAGGTTACTTCTCTTTAATGTTACTCACATCATCTTCTTTGGTTCCACCCCAGAAATTAGTCCCACCAGCATAGCTGGGAATGTTTAGCACAGCTATGCCCTGCAGACTTGGAAGGGGGATGTACTGTCCGTCACACTGTAATAGATAAAAGCTCATTCAGTATATAAATAATGTGGTAAAAGTAATCAGCCATTTTTAACACATGAAGCTTGAACAGAGCTGGCAGGGGAGGACAGAGCCATTAACAGGTTTGACCCAAGACTATTCTCTCCATGCTGTGAAGCACCTCTAATACAAACCTCTTCTCCCCGCTCTTAGCACCAATTTTTGTAGAGCTGAAAAACATGTAGATACTACATGCTGTAGCATCTACAGCAGAGGTGTTCCATGACTCTTCAAAAGAAACATTTTCACATCGTTATTGCGAAATTCCTCATGCACTTAGACCACGCTCTGTCTATCAAGGATTAAAAATCTTTTTGCAATGAAAAAAGCTATCTCCTTGAGTGCACACAGTAAAATCGCCATGGACATTACAAAAAGCTTCATTTACCCATTCAGTAACTAGTCTTCCATCCTATATCGGCATTCTCAAAATTGCAGTACACTTGTTATTTAGGTAAATCCATTAAGCAGGGCAGCGGGGAGGGAAATAAAAAAGTCCAAGAATATGTCTTGCATAGCCACAAACATGTCGTTAAATGTAAGTGTTGTTAGCATTGTACGCTTGGCATCCTGTAAAAATAACTTCATTCTCCTCCTGCAAGTGAAAAAGCATCAGTGAAATCATTCTAGGCTTACAGCAGCACAACTGCCTGCAGAGGTGAGCCCACTGATCTCAAACCATTCAACTGGGAGTCAAAAGTGCAGTCCTGCAGCAGTGCCACAAGCGGGGATTTGAAGCAAGTTGGAAATATAAGGTCATAAAAGCTGGATGCAGGTGTCACTTCGTGGATTATGAATTTGCAGGTGAAGCCGCCTTTAAAGAAGATTGCTAGATTACCCCAAGTTACCAGTCCCACAGAAGGATCTTAAAGTTACACAAATGAAATAGAAATCATCAGGAAATAAGGACAAAATCTGTAGCAATTTTATCAGGAGGAGAAGGAGGTGCAAACTTATTTCTAGAATGTGCCTAGTGCTCTCTTTTTATGATTTAATCTCAGCAACAAGAGAGAATTTAACATTTTAATCAAAATGTGACAGTATCCAAAATATGCTGTGATATTAATAGATGCTGCACAGCCATTTGTATTATAGTAGAGGTCTGCCTCCAATTCCTGAAGTTGGTATTTTTAATTTTCCAATGCTGTGCACCTCATCACACGTTTTAGCATAAGGCTAATATTATGCAAGGCAGTACTAAATATGAAATTTCTACTTGCTGGTTTACTTCCAGAAATATTCAAAAATAATTATGGAAAGGTCAGATCTGAATGCCTTATTGAATCTTATTTGAATCTTATTCAAAAGATCCTTAAATTAGAATTCTATCTGCAGCATACATAACATACTTTCCTGTCATTATATTTGCTAACTACTGCGTAATTCCTTGATAATTACACAGTCCTTAGGTAACAGCAATCTGCTGCTACCAGACAGATTCCTCCTAAATCTCCTAAAAGTGAGAAAAAGTTCCAGTAACTTAAAATTATTCTCTCAACTTAAAAGGTTATCTTCATATATGGTGAACTTCCATATTAAATACTTCGCATGAAGTAAAGAGAAAAATCATATATGTTCTCTGTCAAAATCCAGCCTAGATATGCTTTGGATGAAAATAACTGTAACCATCCTTTAGTCTTTTTCTGCGTTTGGTAATCATTTATATCTTCTTTAAGTTACCAGTATTGTGAAGAAGACTTAGATTTGATATTAGAACTTCAAAGACCAAAAATAACCATCTTTAGATAATTTACACCACATTTGTTGCTGCTGTGATAATATCCTGCTTCTTTTGTGTGACTGTCTCGAACATCTGGTAAAGAAAGTCTCTACCGGTGTAACTGGGCTTCTTGTGATGCACATTCAAAATCTCCCCTCTTCTGTCAGGAATTTTTGTCTAAGATCATCTGTGTGCTCTCCCTGTATGTGTAAGAAAGCTTTCAGATAGTTTAAAATGAACCTGAAGGATTAACTCTGTCTCTTTCCTTCTGTTTAGTGCATGTTCATTTCTGTTATTGTCCTTAAGACCTGTTCTCCCCTTTTGATGCAGTGAACATTAAGAAACATATCTGACCTATACAAAAATTATTATTTTTTTAACCCCAGTAATTACAAGAAATATTATACTGGGTATCTTGCAATATTTAAGTACTGAAATTTTACTCCAGACAACACCTGCAGAACCACCTTTTACATAGGACATTTTTACCCAGTGCCTTTGAGGTCAGCTTGGGTTGACACAAGAATTCTAAAAGGTTTCAAGAGGAAGCCCAAATTCCTCACTACACACTGTGGGAGCAAAAATCCTCATTCTGCCCATAAATAAAATTTACCTCAAGTTGAACTTTTTGTTCCAAGTTCTTGTAAGTTCTCTGCAGTAGCTCTTTTGTGCCAAGAACTCCATACCACATCATGTTTTTCGTCCGACTTCTGAAAACAGGTAAAACAAGACTCACATATTGAAATACACACTTTATTATGTCTTGTATTTGTAGGCTGAGAAAAAGTTAAGAAATTCAAATGAAGAGATAAGGAAAAGAAAATAATGGAAACATCTTGGCTCTGTTACTGAAAATTACATTACCTGCACTTTTCAGGGTGCTCTTCTCGCTTGTTATTAAATTCTAGTGAAATTTTTGCATCTAACCCAATTCCAAAGTAGTTGTTCATGACACATTTTTCTGAATACCCCTCCCTGTTAGAAGAAAAGAGATAATTATGTGTACATTTGTACAGTACTTGGACACACAGAGCTTTGACCAAGATTATGGCTGGCCTCAGAACAGATACATCAACCAAGAGACATCAAAAAACGTTTCCTCTGAATCTCCCTGAGGAAACCCAACGGCAGTCAAAGAGACAGGTTGGCTCCTAGCTCCTTTGCAAATGCAAGTTACTTCTCGTAGGGCAAAGAAGAAACTGTGCCACACGCCCAGCCAGCACTATCTATCTTCACCATACCCAAAATAACAGTGGGATACGAGGAGAGAGCTGCCCCAAGCGTGGCTCTGAGTGCCCAGACCTGCTTCAACATCTTGCTGGTGGCTGAGCTTGCGTTCAGACCAGTGGTTTGGGCAGGAAAACCCAGCTCTGAAGGACTGCTGCCCTTCTCCTACTCATAACTAAAATGGCACAATCCAATCTGTTCTCAGACCTTGAGGTCTACCGCCAAATGATAGCAAACAAGAACTTCACAATGAAAAAAAAAAGATTACAAAAAGATTTTAAAAAAAGCTTAAGAAAAGCAAACTAAAACTAAACAGTAAATTTGGAAAAAAGTATTTCTTACAGGGAATCTGGATCCGGGTCAATAAACGGCGTAGCACCAAATGGATCGATGTTTGCTAGCAACATTTTGCTAATAATTGAACTTCCTGCAATAGAAGCAGCTAGACCAGCCCTCAAACCTGATTAAAAAAAAAAACAGAAAAAAATAACAAAAACCCCATTTGTATTTGATAAACAGAGAAACATATATTATCATAATAAGCCACATACTGAGAGACAAAATTCGTTAAATCCGTATAGGGAATGATTGCATTTCTAGCTCAATTTTTACCTATATCGGTTATCTTTTCAGATGTCTGGCTCTCTTGAGCAAGAAGGCAGCTATGCTGCAGTGTGGTGGCTGACTCTTCAGGTACCACCATTGAGAGAGAAAAAACACAAACAAAATTCAGGATTTCAGGCCAACACTCACTGGCTGGCATAGTAACCAAATGGGTGACCTAACATGCAAAAAGACTACTAGAGCTTATTATTTAGTTTAATCTTCATCTCCAAACTGTCCACGATTTTCCTTTGGAAATATTCCTAAGGAATACGCTTACCATTTTTACAACTTGTAGAATCACAGTTTAACTTAATTTGTGGAAAGATCACAGCCTTGCCATGCCTACCTTGACTAATATCTGTGTCACTCTACAAAACACCGTGTAATACATATAAGCAAGAAAAGTACTTTCTAAAAGTTAAATTGACCTAAAGAAAAATGTAAGCTCAGTTCCATTATGTTTTAACTGTACTAATGAAGTTAATAAGAACAGTGTTTTACTGGTGCCCCCTAGTATTAATTGCATTTGGATAAGAACAGATTTTTTTTTCAACTGTTTTTGCTGCACAGCAGCTTTGTGTAGTTTCAGTTAAGCACTTCCAGAGAGATATCTACAGGCACCTCTTATTCAGAGGGTTGAACTTTACATGTCTCTGCCCCTCAGCCCCTTCATACCCTCCGTTGATTAAGGAGGACTTGAGGATACTAGTGGAAGAAGAACTCGACATGAGCCAGCAGTGTGTGCTCACAGCCCAGAAAGCCGACTGAAAAAGGGTTGGTTTAGATTGGACATAAGGAAGAAATGTTTTACGATGAGGGTGGTGAGGCACTGGCACAGGTTGCCCGGAGAAGCTGTGGCTGCCCCATCCCTGGCAGTGTTCAAGGCCAGGTTGGATGGGGCTTGGAGCAACCTGGTCTGGTGGGAGGTGTCCCTGCCCATGGCAGGGGGGTTGGAACTACATGATCTTTAGAGGTCCCTTTGAACCCAAACGACTCTGTGATTCTATGATTCTAAGATGCTGACTTTCATTTTTCATCCTCCAGAATCAAATGCAACACTTCTGCTATATCCAGTGTTGTGCCAAACGATCAAGAATCTTCTACGTTATTTTGCACTTCCTAGTATATGACATAACACAAGATGTGTATGTCAGTTCAAACAAATTTAGGGCATGAAGTAAAAATTGTTATTTGACAGCAAGCAGGGGAACAGAAGGCAATATTAAAGTAGTGTAAGGAACAGCAGATTTCAAAATCATAATTACCTGGGCAGATAATCCTAGTGTTAAGCACTGGGAGGTTTTCCTTGCTTGCAGCCAAAGCTGGAGCAGAGAAAGCGCCTGTCTGAGAATGGATACCTCGGCTTGTACGTCGATCTGGAGATCTTGGTGCAGTTTTAACTGTGCAGAAGAAGTAAAAGTAAGAGCACTAATTACACCTATTATGACATGACCATATACATAGTTTTTACAGCCCTGAAAATATTTCAAAAGCATTAATTTAATCTGTTACCATTCCATGACAAATGTCCTTCCCCCTCACACCACAGTTGTTCTAAAAACAGGGAAGAAACCTCAGAAACAGATCAGGTGACAAGCACAAATTAAAAGGAGCAAGTGTGCATGGTATTCAATATATGCACAACTTATGCTTCAAGCTACTAGCAAAAACTGCATTATGTCCACCTTAAAATGCAATAATATTTAATGCTGTAGTAAGCTTCTAATAAACATGTTAATAAAGCAATATGAATTTAAACTTCAATTCAATCTATATTTACTTACAAATCTACCTGCATTATATAGTATATTATTATTTAAAACAATTTTAATATAGATAGCTATTCTAACCCATAGGCTACGGAAATACCTGATCAACAGCCACACTATTTGCTTCAAGCAGCTAAAATGGGCCCCCTGCCTGCATCAGATTTCTGAAAACATCAGAGAAAACTCTGACATCTTCATCTACAGCCAAACTGAAAACTGCAAGGGAAGGGAAAAAGCCATGTTCAGACATGCTTGTCTCCTGCAGTTAGAGAGATCGTGGGGGACATCAATTTCTCATCATCTTTTCTTTTTCACAAAAAAAACCCCAGGAATTCCGAAAATAATTGAAATAATTTATTTGTTAAAATTCTCCAGAAGATGGATCAATAAAACCTTGTGACAGATAGCAAGCTTTGGTAGCTGATGTAATTGTTGGTGATAAAGGCTCAGGAAAAAGAAGGGGAAGAAAATCAAGGGAAAAAAGAAGATGTTCACAGAGAGTAAGTGGTAGCTCAGTTGGGCCAGTTGTCCCTGGGGCTGCCTCTGGAGATGATGAAGAAGGATAGGATTTTCAGAGAGCTGACTTCAGGTGCTGCAATTTACTTTCCTGGCAGAACTTGTTTCATGCAGACTGAGAGAATATGCCAGTGCCTGCTTTAGCCTGGGGGAGTTAATCTTTGGGAAATTCAGCCCCGTCAGATGTAGCTAGAGATTGGTGCCCCAGGGAAGAAAGTTTGGATATTACCAAATGCTTTGCTATAGCATTTCCATGTGCATGTAGAAAGCTTTTGCACACCAGATGATCATAGACAGACATTTCTTGGCTACCTCTGCTTCAAATTATCTCACATGTTAAAACTACTTCAGCTTAGGACAACTTTAAGCTTGACCATCTGAAGAAGCTCGGAACAAAAAATGAAATTATTTCAAAGTGATCTGATATATTCCTCTCAAAACCTGAAAACTAATTCAGAAAAAATAGAATGATTAAGACTAGCATCAAGCAAGCAGAAGAAAAACACCACCAGGAATATGGTGGGAAGGATAAAATATACCCTTTTTTGTGGCAGGAGGGGGACAGATCAGTTCACATCAGTCATGATAACTCAGTCTGAAAGTAACATGGCTGTACTGTATGAAGACATGAATGGAAGGAAAATGCAGAGAAAATCGAGAGACAAAGGCAATAACAAGAACCAGGGTTTAGAAGTTGTGTTCAAATCAATTCAGGCCAGGGTTTGGGCATTCACTTTTTTTTTTTTTTAAGATGATAATCTAGCATGGAACAGTCAATGAAATGGCAAATTCTTCACCTTCTTGTATCCCAGGAATATGATTACACACCTTTCTGGATGACTTGCTTAAGTCAAACAGAAATTATTAGATGCAGGACAGGGATAAGTGGGTGAAATTTTCTGAACTGTTTTATATGAAAGGTCTGACCAAGTGGACTAACAGCTCCTTCTGACTTCAACACCTGTGTAACAGCCTTGGCAGTTATCACAAAATGCTATAGTATCGCATGATAACAATACAACCCAATGATTCGTATCTGTGCACAACAAAACACTGTAATAATGTTAAAAAATGAAAAGGAATAAAAACTGCAAGTGATACCTAACAAGAGTTATTAAATATTTAGATGAGGGTAATTAACATATGGAAAAATATTATCTTCATCAAATGACCAGGAAGATCCTCAGAGGGTAAAATATAATATTCAGAATGAAATTAACATTCATTTTTCATAATGCTACTGAAAAATTCACAACATTATTCACACAGTCTGTTCTCTCTGTACTTGGGAACAAGGCAGTTATATTAAATGGGAAAATCAACAGAGCAGCTGGTCTTTATTTGACAGATGTGACTCATGGGGATAACTGCAATAAAGATAAACTTTTGCTGTTCATGCTCTGATAAAAACAACAGAGCTCTAATGAGTAAAACTGATGTTTCATTGCAGATAATTGAATTCATGTTTCATGCTTTGTCCCTAAACACCTATCTTGCACTGACAGCATTAATATGCACTCTATTTCACACTTATCGGATGTATGAAGAATAATACAGCTCCCCAATAAACACAGAAATTGTATCACCAAGAAACAAGGGGTTCATATATATATTTCTACATATGGATATACATATGTGTATATTATTATTTTATTATATAGTTATGGCAGTAGGATTGGGTCATCCGCAGGGCCAGCACCTGCTATGAGCCACTATTGAAACTGGACAACCAACAAGCATTGATTCCTATAACAAAGGGAAAAGGAGAGGGGCCAATGAAGAGACAATCACCAGAGAAAGTCTGACATCCATTTCTGGAGAAAAGGAAATGTGAGATTCTGAATCAACAGAAGCCCCAACAGACTAATGTCGTATTTGTAAGGTAGGAGCTACCAACACAGGCACCAGCTTCAGAGCAGTGCCTCTTGAGGACGACAACTTTTGAGGATGTCGGTGTGGCTTAGGGTAACAGAAGGAGATGCAAATCCCAAATAACTTTGCTCATTTTGCCCCAGGAAGTTGCTCGCCAAATATCTAGAGGATGGGTTTTACTGTCCACCAGCTACCACTGTTTCTCCGTGACTCACAGATCATCTCGAGACCTCACCTGCAGTACATCACTGTCCATTTTGATAATATGGTGAAGACTGAACTTTCCACCTTTAGTAAGAAGCAGCTTTCCTAAAACTACTATGCAGCTTGAGACTCTTGAACAACCCTGGCACATGAACTACCAGTCAACACAAAATGCAGTACTGACATTTGTGATGGAAAATGTCCAAATATGACCTCTGGCTGTATTGGCTTAGTGCCAAAACCATGCAAGGGACGAGGTAAGTGACGGTCCCATATAGACAAATTGTACTTCTTTCTTCCACTGTAGCCACTCACTGGCATAAAGACGCGTGAAGGAGAGATTTTACCCTATCATTTGAATGTGGGAATTAGTACTATGCTATTTCAGGAGATGACTATTCTCTAAATATCATTTTACACACAGTAACTAAACACTGAATAGCCAAAATGGAAAGCTTTGTGACAAAATGGGCTATTTATGAAAATGCTACCTTCCAAGCAAGTTGTTTTAAACTCAGATCACTCGGTATTCTGATTGCTTTGTACAATTAGCGATACAAATAATACAACTGGGTTCTTTCTGTTCTATTTTAAAACCCAGCACAGGCTACCCAGGCTGTTTTCCTTTTTTTGGAGAGTAACCTACAGAGCCGCACAGTGAGGACAGAATGATGCTCCTATGGGAAAGCAGGAGCACTTAGCAGCAGCTGATAAAGTCCATCCGACCAAGGACAGAGCAGGTAGAAGGCTCTCCACCTTGGAAAGCAGGAGTAGCTTGGTATAGTGGCTTGTTATATGGCTCGTTATCCAGGAGCCAATAGCTGCAAGGGACTAGCTGGACTAACCACGTGTATTTGGGACAACAACACAAGAAATTTTTCATGAGAAGGAGCTCTAGGATGTCAAAGACCTCGGTTCGAATTTCTGTTCTGGATTAGACAACTAAAGGGCGTGACCTTAGTACTGCCACTTCTCAGGAGACTTCTATGCTCCAGTTTCTATTATATTCTTTCCTGCTTTGTGCTGTTCCACTTCACATAGAAGACTTAAATATTCATTCTCTCCGTTCCAATAACTCCAATAACTGTGTCAAGGTAAGTTCCCAGCTGAGACATCAGGGGTTTGTTGTCAATACAATGAATAAATATTTGAAACCCCTTCAACAGAAGTGACTGACAGAAATTCCCATAATATGCCCTTAAAATGCCTATGACTGAGACATGCTATTACCACCATCATCTAGGCTCTAGTCCCAGCTCAGGTTCATGTAGAAAGGTGAGTGCAAACACTGGATTAAATGCAGGCACTTCTCTCCCCAACAAATACCTTCTCAGCTTTGTAAATACATTCCAAAAGACTGTTCATCTCATCTCCTGCATTTTCCCCTTAACTTTTATTTATCCAAATCTATTAAAATTTGTGACTAGTTTTCAGTGAAACAGGATGCTAGTATTTTTAATTATGGAGTCAACTATGCTTCATAATGCAGCCATTAGGAGAACACAATTTTAAATTACTTCATTCATAATTTACTCACTTGATGGGGACTCAAGTTCCTTTGTATCTTCCTCTTTTTCCTCTTCTTTGGATTCATCCAACTCTTTGCTATATTCTAGCGGAGACTGGTTCACTTGTTCTTCACTATGAGCATTCTGCTCATCCACAACTGCTTATTAAGAAAAAAGATAGAAAGTTTAAAGATTTTTAAAGAAAAATTGCACACGTGGAAAATTAGCTTCTTTTTTTCTGTTGCTTTAATTTTAAAAATATTAACAAAAGATTTCTATTGCCAATTCAGTGAAAAAGAGCCTAGCAATCCTTTGCCCATTGATGAAGCTTTGCCACCAGAAATTTTCATTTTGTGGAGGATAATAGTTACAAAAGAAGCACACTATTATGTGTGTACACACGTGCATACATATGTATTCATATATGCAGACAGTCATCAACATCCAAACAAGCTGCATTTCTTTTCGTTGCAGTTTGTAATAAGCACATAATTTTATCTATGTAAGAATGTAAAAATCAAATTTTAATATTGAAAATTCTTGCTAGTTTAAAAAAAAAAAAAAAAAGCATCATTATTCTATCAGTAAGGATCAAAATGTTGCTGATGTGTACCTTTTTCTGCTTGTTCAATGATCTGCCTCACAGCCTTCTTCAAGCTGTTTGCCCGGAGCATTAACTGTTCCCTTGGTTTGAAGAGTTTCTGGGTGGAAGACTTTGAGACACACTCCGCTAATTGCTCTTTACTTTCAGACAAGGATTCTTCACTTGAAAACTCCTCTGCTTCTTCTTCCACAATGGGGGGAGTGATGCCTGGGAGAATGGGAGCAGCCTGGGCTTCTGTGTGAAGAGCCTGGAGCAATAGGTCTAGCTTCTCATTTAACTCGGAGCACTAAGACAAAGCGGAAAACAATACATACACACCAAAAAAACAGCGAATGTGTGAACATTTTCGGGAAATTAAGTACCAGATTATATTTAAAATTGTTGGTGTCTTAAGTGCCTATGTAATTGTTTATGTAAAATCCAAACCTAGTTTCAATGTTTTGGAATATCAGAGTATGAGTAGGTCTGCACAGTTTTTTTGCAGACATAGCCTGTGATACCCAACCAGATTAGAGCAATTATAACAAAACCCCCCTACACTCAGATTAAAATAACACACCGTGCTAAACTCAGCCTGCCACATAACTAGGGTACCGATTAGATCTTACTCCTCTCCCAATGGCCTGCAGCACAGAGAACGATCACAGATTTGCCCACACCATGCATTATAAGAAATTATGGGTGGTCAGTACCCCAATTTGGAGAGATAATCTATAGGGACATGCCCAGCTGCTAGACTGTAACACACGGGTTTGTTTTTGCAACACAGCTGTACATTTAAGCAAGCGAGTTGTCACAGAGCAAAGAGGCTCAAGCCAGAATCAAACACAAACACTTCCACCCATCACTAAGCAGTTGCTCTCCCTGTGCTTAAGGGAAAGGAAACCAACACTGTCTGGTCTTGGAACAGTAAAAAAGAAAAATTTGTTTTCTAAAATGTGCACCAAATAGAAATGCGAACCACAAATTGCCATTTAGCAAGTACATTTCCTGACCCTGGGATTGCTAGTGATTTTGTTTTCTTCTTTTCTTTTCCACTCATGTAAATTTTGTGCCTCAGATCAAATCCTTCTGGGTTTTTTTTCCAGTGCCTTTGCAACATGATCTCTACAATTTGCAGCTCAAACCATTATTTTTAACATTGTAGTCTCTCTTCCCTTCATTCTTCCAGCATACTCCTCCTTTATTATCCCATTGTTTTCCTGTAGCTAACTTAATCCCTAAAAGTATAACTCCTAATGCAAAATATTTCCTTTTATCTCTACATACGTTACCATGAACTTTATCCTTTGTGAAGGAAAAAAGTTTAAACAGAGTTTATAGGGATCTTAGGGTTAAAAGATGGTTTGGAAGTAACTGTTCTATGGAATAAGAAGAGAAGAATCTTAAAGTCACTGGGTGAAATGAAAGCCAGGCTGGGCATCCTGGAGCATTTGAAAATTAAACACCCATGAGCTATAAACTTTAAAAAACCCACAACTTTAAACCAGAACACAGTCATAGTCTTACTTTAATGGCCATGGCATCAGCTTCCTCTGCATTTTCCATTGGTTTTTCGTAAGTCTTCCCTATTTTGGCAACAAAGTCCTTTACAGTTTCACATAATATTCTTCAGATAAAAAAAGGAGAGGGAAGAAATCAAATGAAATAAAATAGATATGTTTTGAATATTAAATTCTTATGGCAATTTATTTATATGCATACTGCTATACATCATTCATGTTGGAAACTGAACTCTGTGATCATACTTGCAAAGCAGATGATACTCTTTTCCACGGCTTGCAAAATTCAAGTGATATGCTTTAAAACAAAAACTCTTCCTTTTATTTAAGCCTTTGCGCACATTGTGTCTAAGTCTCTTAGTTCTAGGAACTGAAATAAGCACGACTCACTTTACCCATTCCCTTGCTTGCACACCTTCCGTACCAGAGGAGTTAGCAAACTTACATTCACTTTGATAACTCCAAACACAGTCTTGCAAACTCCCATGCAAAGATGGAGCCTAGAAACCATGGAGAAAATCTACTGACTTTAATGGAACACTTCTTAGATGAAAGCATATGGCCACACACATCCCGTTGCACAGCTCATGCTTTTGAACCACAGCTGACCCTGAGGCGTAGCTATGCAAATTACAGTGGCTGCAATGAATTTGCATTGTGTAAATCAGAGAAAGACTTGGTTCTTATTACCTACACTGCAGACAGACAGCAAGCTTACTAACGAGGTGTGGATAATTGCTTAGTACTGTTCATTTGATTGAAATTTATTTGACAAAAATTAAATAGATTTAACAAGATACAGACCCAATTTAGAATCTGGAGTTATAATAATATCCTGCAGTTTAATTTTCAACATGTGCTATGTATACTTTAAAAATGAAATTTTATTAATTTGCTTTTAGCAGGAAAAAAAAAAAAAGAGGTGTAATGACATTCAGATGTATTTTTGAAGATCCTATGACTGGTCTTTTGCATATTACAAAATATAAGATTTTTCTTCATAGAGAAGGTATACACAGAATACTTCTGATTTCAGATGATGTCTGTGATTTGTCAAGTAATTACCTCTCATTTTCAAGTGTTTCAGTTTGGGTAAAAAAAACCTATCGTCTAAGACCACTATTGATTGAATTGACATAGACAGAGCTATGACAAAGCTACCTAGCCTGAATTTCTGCTTCACATTGGTAAAGTTGTTTGTCCTCTGAAAGATATGGATATGCATAAAACAAACCAGAGAAATGTAATGTGATGTAGATCACATATTCACATTAGTAAGTGTCATACTTAAGCTGCATGCTGGAGTGATTTAAAAATCACTTTATTTTAATAATATGTGATATTTTTTAATGTTGATGTGTTTAGTATTAAGCTACAATTACATCCGTTACAATTGTACCATATAAAAATTTTGCAGAAAAAACATCCGCTCTAAAAGATATAAATTAAGATATATTAAGCCAAGCCAGTCAGGGCAGCCATAAGAAAATCAGGCTTAGACAGAAGGTTATTATGGTGATGATGTTACACAGGGGATTTATCCCACACATCATACATAAAACCAATCAACTCACTTGGCAGATGATATAACAACTGAGTGCTGATCAGAATTGAGAATTTTTGCAAGATGAGCAGCAACTGAGTCTTCATAAGCAGATATCTGAAAACAGAAAGATGACTTCAATTTCCACATGTTTCAGCAGTTTAACACCAAGTAGTGAGTTAAAACACCTCTAAAAATAGCAAGATTTCCATTTCAGATCTAATACAAGGACAAGGAGCTGGCAATGCAGATTCTACCTGCATACTGTATTTTATGTACCAGATTTTTAATATTCAAAGTAACACTGAATCTGAGAACTTGATCCACAGCTCTCTTCTTCCTGTAGAGAAAACGGTAGGTTATTTCTAGCCTAAAAAATAGTCCATGAGGCAGAAAAAAAAAAAAAAAATCTATCTTCTTTTTAGATTTATAACAACCTCAATTATCATAATCTAATATGTTTTATTTCTAAAACAAGCTTCCCTCAAACTAAGCAGCTCAACTAAGAATAAATAAGTTTGCAGTTATACTCCTGAATTTTCTTTTTACTGTCAGATGGGCTCTTACCCCTTACTACTGACAAAGGCTGCTGAAGTGGTATCATGTTACCAAAACCAATCCTTAAGGAGCAAACCAATTAGGGCTTAGTCTTTACAGGAACATTTGGGAGAACGAATGTGTGCACTGTTCGTCTTTTCTTGCACAGAAGAATTATAAGGTCTGAAATACTCTGGAATGGATCAGAAATGCATTCTCACACACTATAACCTGTCTCAAAATAGATATGGATCCAGACCTCAGTTTTAAAAGAAAATTCTAACCAAATTCCAAATCTAAAGCTAAAAATAAATGCCGTTCTGAAATTTTCTGACAGTTTCCATTAAGAATGTCTTAAAATCTCTTAGTGTGTTTTTGCCCTTTATATGGAACAAGCAGATATACCACCTTTTTTTTTCTCCGAAAACCCAGCCTTAGTTGTAGAACACTGACAGTAAGTCAGTTTTCATTTCAAGGGAAAAAACCAAGACATAACCATCTGATCTGTAAGAATGAACTACTATTGTTCAAACATCAGTATACGATTTCTGGAAGCAAACTAATTGAAATAAGCCACCTGAAACTGGAGGAAAGAGAAAAAAAAAAGTATTGGATATGTAATTTTATTTACTTTTCGAACTGCGCTTTAATACATTACCTGCTGTAAGGTTAATTCTTCTTCTTCTGAGATATCATAACTCAATAAATGATACAAAAAACACTAAAATAGAGATTGAGCAGGGTACTCAAAAGAAAACGGCTTTGTCCAACTTAGAGTAATGGCAGGTAACTATAGCCTACAGAACTGATTTTCCAAAAAAGAAGTTTTATATGAGCAGTTCCTCCCATTTTCAGGATGGGCTAAACACAATTTCAAAGCCAGAACTAACTAGAACAAAAAGTGTATTTTTCCCTTTACAAGATGAAGATACACTTGAAAATTTTAACTGTCTTGAAAAATTAGAGAAGATAAAGCCTCGGTCTGCATTGCTGACACTGGAAACAGAGCTGTGTGCAAAGCAACCCCGTTAAAATCCCAGCCAGTGGAGCACAAGCTTTTTTGCATCTCTACATCCAGCAAGCTGTCAAAGGTTATAACCTCCTTGCCAATTAAACCAGCCTGAATTATTAAATTATTCAAGAACCTGCTGATTAATTATTGCTTCTCAAGTACTTTTGAGCTGAAGTTGATATGCATTAACTTTCTTAGGAATATATTATTTTCTTATTTTTAGTCAGACTTTTCATGCCAATTAATTTGATTAAAGCATCTCCCTCTCTCACAAAATCTAAACCTCATCAGATAGTACAAGCACAAATCTAGTCTGAAAGATAGACTAAGCTTTTCTTTAAGGTCACTTATGATTTCGAGCTCTCCAAAAGAACAAACAGAAAGTTGGGTGGTATCACCTGATCTAACTCAAGCAGCAAAAAGCCTCTTTTCTTTCTTTCAGAATACAAACCTTGCCTTCAAAATGTTGGGGTTTTTCCAATGCTTATTCCAAGCTCAAGATAGCAAACATTTTGCTTTTATATAGATATTAAAATATATTTTATACATTTATATATATCTTACTATAGTATATATAATATTATTATACAATAGCATAACACAAAATCATACTATTATATATGAAATAACATATAACACATTCTTATATATAATAATTATATTAAATATATAATGTTATTATATGGCATACTAATATAATACTATATTATATTCTCATATGAAAATATATAATATATAAAAACTAATTTATAACACATACGTAATAAAATATATATTTTTCAGGAATAAATTTTTCTGACTACTCTGCTGAAGACTCCTTACCTTCATTCATTTTTTGGCAAATAATACAGAACTGGAAACCCTAATTACTTGAGATACACTCCATGAACAAACGTTAACTCAGTTCAGTTAGCAGATCACAAAACATCTGTTTCTATCTTTCATGCATGTGTTTCAATTATAAATATTGTCATCCCAGAAGCTCAAAGTATATGAAACAACAAAACAAAAATAAAAGTCCACCTGGCATTCCTCCGACTCTTCTGCAGTCACTGGAAGAATAGAAGGCTTCGCTGGTAATTTCAGTTCATATGACATTATACTCCACCTGAAAGAAACATAACAGCTTTTAAGTTTCCAGATCGTTAGTTTTATCTTTTCTCCAACATATCAGCAAAAAGAAAATTCATTGCTACACCACAGAAAAACTTGTTAAAAAAAAGCAGCTTAATTTTTAATTGTAAGCTAATTGTATATGGGTGAAATAATTGAGATTAATGGTAATAATTTGTTTTATTGCTCAGAATATTTGTTAGTGATTTGATGATGAGCCATACTTGTGAACAAATCATGGGACATTCAATGCAGGCAACAAGTATTTTCCAACAAAACATTCATAATATAAAAGAATTTGTGCAAACTAACTGCAGAAGTCAAAGGAAAATAGACGTGTTCCTAGAGAAAAACCTCTAAGGTAACATTAGCTTTTCATCTCAACTAGGGGAGGCAGGCATGAGAACAAAGCAAATGGTGAAGTATCTTCATTGACATATATATATATATATTTTTCCCCTGGTAAAGGACAGTACTCTACAGCATAGATAGTATGAAACCGCTAATAGCAACATCCTTCAAAGCCTGCTGAAAAGAACAGGTAATCACTGCAGATGGCCTTGGGAGCAAGTCTACTGAAATTAGAGCAAAAAATAAAACTGAGGTTTTTTTCAGTACAGAAAAAGGCAAACATGATTTAATCTATGAATCTTTCAGAATGCCCAGGCCAACATTTCTAAGGATCAGTACCAAGCATTTCTCTAGATACTTTGCTGTAAAACAATCAAGTAGTCTGCAGAAAAGCTTAGAATAAGAAAGGACTTGTTTCTCTATTTCATAAAAAAAACCAACTAAAATACAATCCCCTTTGATGACATTCGGGAGTTTGTAACTAGAGCAAGAACAGAAAGACCCATGAGAGAAAGGAACAAAGTAAGAAATACTCCTCTCAAAAACAGGGTGTTACACCTTCATTGGAATGACATGACCGTCATCTTATCTTTTTTTAAAAGGAGATTGCTCTTTCGCTTTATGGATGGAAACCACACAAAACAAGGATTGGGAAGATCTCTTGGTTTTGACTAAGAAAATGCCTCAAACAGAAATATTAGTAGTGGATCAAACCAAAGATCCAGTTAAGCCCAGCATCTTGTCCACAGCTGATGCCTCAGGAAATTATATGAAGGGTGAAAGCACACAATGTGAGTTCTCCCCACATCCAAGGACAGAGAGCTCAGGTGTTTCCTAAATAAAGATGCTACCTTTAATGGTATTTAATAGCGTGCATGGCGTCCATGAAACTGCCCCAAATGGTTGTGAATCTATACAATTTCTTAATGCTCACAACTTCTTGTAACAGGCAGTTATGCAGCTTCATCAGTTATGCAACAAACTGTCACCTTTTGTTCATCTCTGGACAACATGCTTCCTAGTTTCATCAACCGTTCTCCCCTCTGACTCTTCAGTTTAAAAGGACTTTGAAGAGCTGTCCCCATTACTATCTTGGTTTCCCTCATGATTATGTTTTGCACCCTAAAAACCAAAACCACTGAACACTAAGTCTCCAAGACGGATTTAGGCCATCAGAAACCCAAACAAACACAATTTGAATCTCATGATAAATCATATCTATGCACATTTAGGTTTACCTGTCTAACATTTTCGTGCTGGCTCGTTCTAGTTTCTCCAATATCTGAGGAAGTTGTGTATCGTCATCACAGGATCCTCCCCAACCAAGGACACGAGCAAGGTCATTTCCAGTACCAAGGGGTAACACTCCCAACTGACACTGAAACACAACACAGGAGCAAATCTACTATTGAAAACTAGAAGAAAAAGTACAAACTATTACAAATGCTTCTTATTTCAAGCAAGAAATGTTAATTATATAGATGATGTCTAAAGCTTGTAAATCAAATTGTACAATCCTGATATAACTTGTCCTATTTACAGCAGTGAAAATTTTCCTTTAAGAGTAGCCATTGAGTTTGGCCTGTATAGAGAGATATGACAAAGAACCAGGTCAAGGAAAAGTAAGCATACAAACTTAAGTCTAGTCAGTATAGTCAAGGAAAGTAAGTAAGCACACTTGCCTGTTTGTGCAAGCTGAGCTTATCAATTTCTGACAAGACCCAACCCACGCTTCCATCGCCTCCACACACAAGAATCCTGAAGTTGTCAAACTTCTGAAATAACCGCAAACTGCAGAGAAAACGCAGCCTGTTAGAGCCAGTCACGTCCATTAATGAGACAGCACTTATATTCATTAGCAGCTGTTACAAGAAAATATGGTGCACGGCACCTTTATGGTCCTTCTTTTAATGTTCTGGGGTATGTGGATACAACCATCTACTTAATAAACCTATCTGCATCCCTTCTATTGCTGTATATTCCACTTATACTGACATTTCTGATAAATAACATGCCAAGTTTTACTTAAAAAAAATTCCCTTGATATTGTTTTCAGGATTTTATTAATATTATTTTATTAATTTTATTAATATTTTTTAAAATTTCTAAGCTATGAAATTGCAACTGCTCTATGCTTCCCACTTCAGGCAGAAGCACAAGGCACCGCTGGGGATTTTTCACGAGAAGAGGTTAAGACACAACAACAGGATGTGCTCCACAATATGCGTGGGCTTTTGCCAATGCCTGACTAACTAAATGCAAGGACCTTTGGAGGTAATTATTACACAAGGTGATCACAACAATATAAGAAAATAATACAAGTATTTCGCATTAGATCATTAAAGCCGTATCCTGCTTTAGCTTTCTACGGCTCTTCCTCCTGTTCTCTGGCTTTTAACACCTCCAGGATACAACACTTGGGCAGTACAGAAAAGGAGGACAAGAGAGACAGAACAAGCAGAAAGGTGAGACACAGAGGAAAGGGGAATGAGATGTGAAGAAACAGCCAAGAGGTAAAAACAACAGGGATTTAAACTTAAAAAAAACAAAGAAGAATTGGAAAGTATAAACTCTTAAAATCATAAAAATAAAGATGTTTATTTTTAACGCATGTTATTTTCCAGAATATGTGTAATCTCACAACTACTTCTAAACACCAACGTATTAAGATCACAAATTTTTGAAGCATTTATATTTTTTCTAAAGAAAATAGTATCACTTGCATATGATACGCAGATACCTATTCAGAACAAAAGGTGCAGATATTTAAGGAAAAAAATGTTGATACCAGAACAATTTCTCCAACCCTGAGAAAGGGGAGAAAACCCCTAGAAATACACTGTCTCAAAGAATGCAACTCTGCTCTTTAGATCAACTATAAAAAAGAAGACATCAGCACGACCTGACTGAGTAACTGCTAAGGACCTCTCTTTGGAAACTGTTTGGGAAAAATATTTAAAAGCAACCGACCTGACCTACGATTACTGTGCAAAACTGGAGTGAGCCTCCTGAACCATGCTGCTGTTAGGTACAACTATATGAAGCAAGAGAACTTGCAAACAGACAGACATATTTTTCAGACTGTCCTCTCCCAAAAATTGTCTCTCCAATTAAGATGGATTTTTATCTGTCATTATAATGACATGTACAAAATGTTAGCCAAAAGCGACTTAGATTAAATTCAGATTTTCAGGGTTATGATGAAAAGAGTATTACAGCTTAAAGAGTTAATATAACATGTCCATAACACAGTACTAATTATAAAAATCCACAGCTGTATTCCATTATATATGTATTACATGCCCACTGTTTGAACTGAATTTTTTGCATTTGTTTCGTCTCCATTTTTGTCATGCAAGCATAATTCTGCATCTTTAAGAGTACAAAAATTACTGTTTCTAGTTGCTGTAACTGATATTAATAGGCCATTTAACCACAATGCTACATCTGAGTGGAATTAAGTTAGGCAACAGAAAAATGTGCATAAATTTAATCTTTATGAATGCGCAAAGATGCTTGGGTTGTGGCCACCACTATGCAAATTTCATCCCTATCTCTCCAACAATCAGCCCTTAGATTTTGTAGAATGCCTGATGGTTTTAATTGTGTTCTTGCTCCAAATTTTGCGAGATGCTCATTTTCTTGACTGTTTGCATATGTTGCCTAAACCATATTTTGAATGTAGTTTTCAGATGACAAAAGTTTTAGTGTACTCCTCTATCACCCACTGCAGACTCCTTTGCTGACATTTGTGTTCAGAGTTCAAAAAGATACAGAGTACATATAGACAATAGTTTTATTCCAAAGCTATTCACAAAAAAGTCACAAGAATATCTGAATTACTCATACGAAATGGAAGAATAGCACGCAGGCAACTGTGCATTAAGGCCCTGATTCAGGAAGGCATCTAAACATTTGTAACAGTTTTGAACCTTACCAGTTAGCAGAAATCAAAGCTAGCAAAAAGCCACAAAACACTTGGGCTAATAGGCATTGGGTTTGAATTTTTGTGAGTTTTCCTAAAAACAAAATATTACCCTACAATCCCTTCACCCACCAGAATTCATCCTGAAATTCTGTTATCTCTTCGATTTTAACTAGGAAGTCACAGTAGATATTGGTGATAGAATTACAGCAACAAGGGGACAACACAACACTATACTTTGCACTAAATTCCCTTGTGAAAAGGATTGCTCAAGATTTCCAAGGTCATTACCCTAAGTGAGGTCCTCCATTCATTAAATCGAACACCTGAGCTGGATTTAACGACTGTTTGAATCGACGAAGAAACTTTACTCCCTGATTGTCTCCACTCTTTGAGTTAACAAAAACTAAAAGAGGACTGGCACAGGATGGCGGGCATGTGGCTTTCCAGAAACCTGTGAACATAGTTAGAAAGAATGAAATAAATAAGGCTTTCTAATATGAACAACACAAAAAGAAATCATGGGAAAGAGGAAGAAAGGGATGAAGGACAAAAGGAGTACATTTTATCATGCATAATGTAAATGCTAAACTGAATATTAGCCCTGCAAGGAAAACATAATTGCTCAAGATTTACGAGTTCTTTTTTTCCTTTCCGGTATTTTCAGTGCCTAGATTTAGTAAAATCCTGAAGACAATAGCTTTATTGCTTTTCCACAGTGAAAAAGTTTATTAACCTTTTAGAATACTTCTCAAATCTCATCTTCACAGATCATCACATAATTAAATAAATATTTCAGTTACAAGTGTTTGGTTTTTAATCTGATTTTTCTTTAACCTTACTGAGTTGAACTGGATCATCCACATGTGTATGAGCTTTCTAAGAGTATTCACAGATTTTAAAAGTTACTGTACTCAGCTGCTCCCAGGTGAGACTTTGCATGAGAACTTTCTTCTCAGACTGAAGTTATGCTATTAATTATACCAGAATCACTGAACAAGAGACCTTCAGCTGTGATCCAAAGCTTATTAAAGTCAACGTGGGTCTTAAGAAATTACAGCAGGCTTTCTCTAAGGCCCTTAGTAAGTAGTATTAATGGACACTGTTGTCACTAACATGACCAGTCTATGGAAGTAGTGGTTTCTCAGCAACACTTCAAAATCAGACATCACAGGTATAGGTTTTGACATTGGTTTCAGGCAGTATTAAAACGACTATGTTGTTTTCAATTACTAGAGCTACGAATAAAAAAAACTAGTGTTAAAAGGATGCTAATTTAATTCCACATTATCATAATGTATAATTTAAAATAAGGTTTGATTAATTTATTTAGATGCCAAGAAAAATAATTTCACATATGGAACAATCTTCCTAGCATGAATAATAAATAGCAGCATGACGCTCTGGTCTAAGACATAGCAAGTAAGTAGAGCGAATATAAACAGCATAAACAATCCTTGTACTAACTTCATACAACAGAATTCATTAAACTGTGTTAAAGTTGTTGGTCTACATTTGCCACACAACCTATAAAATTAAAGCAGTTAGATTTCATGATACTCCTTATTAAATCCACTCCCTGCCTTTAAGTGCAGTCCCACTGCTCACACGTCTCTATCCTGAGCCACCAAAGAGCACCTCTGAGTTTTGAACATTTGCTGGGTTTTTATCTGTGTGTTGCAGGATTCTTACACTGCTTATATTTAAAAGAAATTTAGACAAGCTGTGGAAGCAATTCTTCTCTTTAGCCTGGTAAAGCAGTTGGTGGATCTGAGCCATTCAGCTAGCTTACCTCTGCATTAAGCGAAGTTATCCAAAATTTGAGAACTCACAGAATGAGTGATGCATGCCAGGCAGGCATCAGCCCACTTCATCTGAGGACTCTGGTCATTCACTTGAAAAGTTTCCAAGAGTCATAAATAAAATGGGAGAAAATTTCTAGCGGGGGAACTTTCAAAAACATTTTTTAAATCATGTCAGTTAAATAATCTTCTGAAAAGCTACACAGAAAATTATACTTTTCTCTAAATTTGAAGACTGCGTTCACCTGCTCAGCAGAATGATTTTAGCCTTGTTTAGTTATACAGGTCTCACTAGGCACTGCAAGTCCAGAACTACCACTGAACACACTACAACACTACGTACCATCAGAGTCTATACTGTTTAGTGCTGTTGGAGGTATGATCGATACCTTACATTGGCCAAGTGGGCATTTACGAGGATACAGATCTTTACAGGCAGTGTGAACCTACAAAAGAAACAAAAAATTATTTCCCTACAGTGGAATTTCAGGGTGAAAGTATACCTGATGCAGTATCTATGTAACAAAAATGGACTAATATATAACATTTAGGTGTAGAGGGAAGAAGAGTGAGACTGGAAAAAAACCGTGAGTTGTCAACCACAACAGCTTGATACTCATTCTGCAAAATTTAGGTTTGGAGTACTTGAGCTACCCCTATAGAAGATACGAATCATCCTTTCAAGGGAATCACTTACGTCCATCCATGAGGAAGGGAGGACCAAGTTCCTAGCAGCCAGAATCCATGCTGGAGGCAGCAGGCACACTGTGCACATGCAAACCAACAGCTCTGTACATGCGTGGTCCACCTGACTGTTCTGGAAGACCTATCCGCACTAAAGCTAGCACACATACCAAGCCAGAGCAGCCCACCAAAGGTGGGTCCCATAAACTATGCGTTGTAGAGGTGTCTTCCATAGTTATTGGAAAAACAGGCACATGCAGAGGGTGCTGCACTTCACCTAAATTTCACATCGCCTCTGGAGATGCCAATCATTTCCCACTGCCTACACACAGAGCCTCAGACGTCTATATGCCGAAAGCTTCAACCAGAAAAAACCTGCTGACTTTCCACTTCTATACCCTAGCATATGAAACCTATCTTTTTAGACAAGTTAAAAAATTAAGAGAAAACTGCATTTTGGGGAAACAGCAATAGCATGTTATAGAATTTCAATCTGCAACCTACAGAGTGTCCTGAAGAAGGGAACTTCAAGATTTTGCAGTATTAAAAATATTTCTACATCAATATTAATATAATAAACATTACTATTACTGATATTACTAAAATATTATTACAGCAATATCTACAATAAAAGATACAAGAAATTAACATATGATTATCAGGCATATGGAACAGACATCTGAACTTTCAGTTATCAGTCAGGAGAAGGCAGAGAAAACACATTGGATGACAACATCTATTAAAGAAAAGCTGCATCTGTGGGTGTATTAAAAATTAACTGAAGCAAGTATGACAGTCATGAGAAATTATGAACATTAGAGAGACCTGAGTTCGCACAAGCTGCCTGCTCCTACTAAATCCAAAAGCACAGTTATGAAATGACAAAATAAAACTAATGGTGAGCAATAAAGCTGGCAAAATCACAGACGCTTGGACGTGATTCACTGCACCTACCATAGCTTTACACCAAAGGCACTTCCAATCTTGCAGGCGTAAAACACTGCCACAAGTCTTGTCGCAGACTGCGCATTTGGCACTGACAGGCAGATTACCCTCTAACCACTGGTGAGGCATAGCTATCTGTGAAGAAGTAGTCATAGAAGTTAAATACTCAGAAATAGAAATTAGAGGCTTTTATCTCTCAAATATAGGTGGATTTAAACTATTTCCCACAGCTCTACCCTTTCATCAAAGAAGCTGGTATGGCTGACCAGCATAAGTGACACTGATGCTTAAAGGCAACAGCTATGAATGTGGACTATGGTGATATTTCACATGCTAGGCAGAAAATGTGACAGCTGAAGAAGGGAGACACATCTTATTCAACTGTTCATGGTACTATGGTAGCAACTAACCACTAAACAATGGGGCAGTTAAATCTAGAGACTCTGTAACACAAGTACCCATTCAGTTAATGTTGACTACAAGACACAGACCGACTAAAATAACTAAAATTTGGAAGAATAGGCAGGACAGCAGAATACCTCTGTGGCTTTGCATACACCCTCACCATGGCTGGTAAGTCACAGTTTTATAAAGCAGTCCCTAAATGCAGTGCAAAGCTTTACTCAGTGCACTCTTTGTCTCATTAATACCATGGGCAACTCAGGACACTCATAGCACTAACCTTCTAGGAAGAAGTTTCACACCAGTGGCACATACGTAGGTTGTGTTTGTAAAAATAACCCATCTATCATAATAAACCTCTGAAAAGCTTTTGTCATTTCTCCTGCTAATTTTAAAATTCCTGCTTTCATCAGTAAAAAAAAAAAAACCCCACACGTCAGTGAATTCCAAACAAGCATCCTAGGGAACAGCTATCAGTAAGGGGGACACAAAATAGATTGCCAAAACAGCATGGTAACAGTATAAAATACCACCTTTGCTTAAGAGCAGTAGGAACTTCTGGGAGCAATTCTCCAGCTTCAGAGTTTCTCTGCATGTGGCCTTTAAAATATTGTAATACGGCTGCAATCTAGTGCCCACAGATACTAAACTTGCCTTGTGAGATAGGAATGTAACTTTTGTTCTAAATACCATGTTAATCTTTGAAAAGTGTTCAGCAATATAACCACCTACCATTAACTCCAATGGGTCACATGGCAATATTTCTATGCTTAGCCTTTTTTTTTCCCCATAAAGAAGAAACAGCTTTGGAAAATACTGTAAATATGAAGAGTACTTACACCATCTTCATCTTCAATGATGTCTTTTCCAATTGAGGCTAAGGTAGTCCATTTGCAGTTATTTGTTGCTCGGACAGCACATCTTTTGTGTGCTTTAAACTTACACACTGGAAGACACACATAAACATGTATACTTTGTTATTTGCTGTATTTCAGTGGTACATATCTTTAAAAAAATTAAACTGAGATATTCCATAAAACAGCCAAGTACATGTCATTTAGTGTCGCACACATGACACAACCCAATTAAAAGAAAACTCAGTTTATAATCACTCCAGCTTTAACTCTCTAAAGTGGGCTGAACTGCTTAGCTGTAGTCCGTGTTAAGTGTGTCCTCAAGTCCACATCAGTCCCCATTTTTTCAGGTGCAATGCAAGGTACTAAGGTACAAACACATCTTTAACTGTGTTTTTGCCTTTTCTATGCCTCCAGTGACACAACTCAGATACCTGGTTTAAATTTGCAAGCGGTGATAAGAGAGTGTTTCACAGAAATATTTTGCTTCAGGAGCTCTGTTTCTTTGCTTAAAGGTTCCCTTTTGGGCACCATACTATGCCTGTTTTCCCAGAAGCTGAGAAAGTGAAGGGTTAGGTGGTGATGTATTTATTCAGGATACTGGTGGTTACAATATTTTCCAAGAGGTTACATTAAGTGAGGAAGAGCCTGACTTCTTACTGGATTATTTATTAAAAATCCACTCATTGGAATACTCAGTACAAGTGTGTAGTACAGGCAGACATTTTGACAATCTAATAACTATTTGTATTTGTTCAACTCAATTAATATGACTGGTTAATATCATATTAGACCAGACTCACGCACCCAACTGTGGGTATTTCTGTTACTGAAAGTGCATGACATCATTCTATTTAGAGTGCATTATATAAATTATTTTGGCAAAGGCTATTAAAGGTTTATGAGAACTAGCCAGCAGACCAGAAGTAGTAGTCTCTTTTCAAACAAATATTTGACAGGAAACTATCAAAAGCTTTGGCCCATTGCTTGTCCACCATTAAAAAACATTAAGCCATGGTACAAAAGGTCTTGTAAATCATAAATTTCTCATTTTAATTCCACTGATCCATTGCCAGATCAATTTTAAAAGTGAATTGAGACTATGTAAGCAACATCTGAGTTTGAGAGCAATCCTCACTGTTCTGGGAGATGCACTGAAGTACATGCCTAGCTCAAAGAAAGAGAAGGAAACAGAAAAAGGAGTTTTGTTGCTTTTACAGTAGCTCCCCTGGTCATTTCGAAAAGCAGCATTCACAGACCCAAAGTGTGCAAATATGCCATATTCATCAACTGACAGGGTAGGCTTCCATTTTCAAAACAGCTCAGCATCATATTGTGTGTTTGCCAACATATGCTGGTTCCAAGCGTCTAAAGAAGGCAGCTCTCACAGAAGCACAGAAATAAAGGCTGCATTTTCAAGTGATGGGCCTTGAGCAGTTTTGCCACTTGAACGTTTTGGAGAAGATATGCCACTGAATTCAGCTTCCTACTCATACATGATATGCATTTGTCTTTGCCACACAGATCAAAATACGACAAATCAGGGATGAGGGGCAATAAGAAATTCCAAATTATGAAGGCATAACGAAGTAAGGGAATTTTCAAATCCTACTGAGGTACGATTCAACTACATCTCAGAACCCTGTATTCAACCTCTGCTCTCTCAACAAGGCAAGGACAAATTCAAACCCAGGATCTGAAGAGCTGCAGCAAGCCACACCATGGATGGCAAGTGACAGCTAATGTTCGATTTGTGGGTACAGAATATAACTTACCAAATCTCAGATCAGGCTTTCTGCAGGTCACCCCCCAGCAAGACCAATATCATCAAACAACTATTCATGTTATTCTGAGCATTAAACATTACCAAAAGCAATGACCTTAAGTCAGAGATGTAACTTTCAAGCAAAACACATAGCAGTACAGAAGAGACAGGTATAGAAAGGAAAATTTTAAATCAAATCTCAACCTCAGTTACCACCACCCCCTAATTTTTTTTTGTCGCGGGTGACACTGCATCCCATTCATGAATCAGTCTGATATCTGCAATCTTTTGGAAACAGGCAGACATACTGCTAGACATCAATTGCCATTCCTTGCCAATGAAAGTTAAAAGATAAGAAAAGGAAAAATTTAGCCAAACCAAATCTAGAATATTTATAGAACATTATTTTGAATTTTAATTTCCTGTGTAGATGTTTCTAGGTGGAATATGAAGCAGGTCTCTCAGAAAGCCAACCAAGAGAACCATTTAATTAGCAAACATTTGTCACAGTGGTATCAATATCTGCTGTCAGACGCAGTGATTAAATCTAGAGCTATTATTATCTATAATGAAGAAAAGTCAACATTACTGAATGTTATCATAGGATCTCTTGCACTGAAAATATACACCTTTGTTATAGAACACTGCTGTCTCAAAGGCCTTTCGTTCTAACCACCCGTCAATTAATTCAACTGCATTGGCAGGATACTCGGGAAGGGGGGGGTGTCCTCAAATTTACTGCTCTACCATCTATTTTATGACGAGTTTTCTCTTCTGTGGTCTTCACAGAAGAAGTGGCTCAGACTGTTCTTTTCCAATTTTAAAGGCCAAAGTCAAAGTTTTGAAACTGATCTGAAGATCCCTGAGCTGGTATCTATAATTTAAGTTGTCAAGATGGGAGGATTTGTCTTCAGGTATTCCAAGAAACGTGCTGTTTTGTTTCCAAGAATACTGTCACATGACAGATGGACAAGCCACAGTGAAAATGGAGAGACTCACGTGAAAAGAGCAACCTAACTTCACTCCAATTTGAAGCTTATGACTATGTTACAAAGGATAAAATTCAGCAGTTTCTTGGTAGTTTTTACTATTTTCACCCAAATAAGTAACTCTCTAAGTTAATTTAATATTACAGAGTGCTAAAGGAATACTCGCATTACAAAGTCAAGTACTACAAAGTTGTTAGTTGTGCAACTTAACTTTGCAATATAGCTTTGCAATCTAGCTTCCGTGTGCAGATGTAAAGTCTTCAGTTATATGATCATACACTTTTTGAGAATAGGACCCTCATTCACTGCATGCAATGGATGGGTCTTGATAAGTATGCAGCTGTGCCATACTCTGGTTCACAATCATTTTCAACAGGTATTTGCTTTATTTACCAAAAGCTAATGAAATAACGCTTTTTAGAAACCAATATTAATTTCTTCCTGGCCTTTTAAAATTATTATGATTATTATCATTACACTCAGTACTACTGCAACTAAGACCTTTTTTTCAATACTGTGTATCTTCAAAGTATCAGTGGCTTCGGAAGAGCTTCAACTGATTTTTGCAGTTATAGAAAACTCAGCACTTCTGTGATACAGGTCCCAGATTATAAACAACACACAACTACTAATTTGATCAAAAATCTTATTTAAGTGATTTCCTCAGGAATACGGAGGGGCACAGTGTGATACAAAGTCACCCAACACAGTTTTCTATTACTCCTTAATTCTTTAACAATGAACATCCCTTCTCTTCCTGACCGCTTCATTCACTATTCACTCTCCAGCCTGTGCAGAAAATGTGGCAAAAATCCTGGAGACAATGACTACCCAAGTAGTGCATGTACAATACCCTGTGCAATGGGTAAGAACAACAGAGTTTTGTGGGGAAAAAAACAGAATCATAATGGAAAAAGATCAAGTGCACAAAGTGCATTTGCTGAGACAATTTAATCCCAGTATTTTCTTATTGCTTGACTTCATGATCCAAAAGTGTTCTTTCGATATGGTTGGTTTGTGCAATTCATCACAGGAGAAAGCATCTCATTTATAGTGCAATCTCTAGCTTATTAGGTATATTTGATATTCAACAATCAAGATTCAGTCACGATAATGAAAACACTACATGAAGAAATATGTCTCTGAGAATAATCATAAAGGCAGTGTTCCACTGGCAATGACTTGGACAGAAATGTGGTATTAATACAGAGTAATTGAGGCTAGATGGCCTTGGAAGAGTTAATGATCTATAGTTCTTTGGGTTTCTTTGCCTAAACGTTCCATGCATCCCTGTGTTTACCTGATAACTTCTTAGGCTTAGACTCCTGAGCAAACAGCAAGCTAAACTCTGAATAAGAGAAACATTTGAGGGATATAAAGAACAAAAGCCTTACTTGATTCAGCTAGTTTGGAGTAATTTCCAAAGCAAGGCAAAAAAATTGTAATTTCTCTGTCCTAGTAAGGACTGTGGATGAATGTTGTAGACATCAGTCCTTTAGAGCTAGCTAGAGCAACACAACACGCAGACAACATTTGAAAAGTAGATTATCTTTTGAGAAGACACAAAAAAAGGAACTAATGGGAGGAATAGCATTGCATCTCAAAGGAGTGTGTGATTGTATTTTTTAAAAGTCAATTGTTTTTTGAGCAGTAGAAAGAATGAAGCTGGTTTGATATGAATTTACACCTTTAGCTTAATATACATATCGATTCTTTGACTTTTAAAAAGATGCAAGTTCACACTACAGTCTTTTCCCTAGCAAAGGTATTAACATCCTGTCCTGGTTTTGGCTGGGGTAGAGTTAATTTTCTTCATAGTAGCTGGTACGGGACTATGATTTGGATTTCTGCTGAAAACAGCATTGATAATGCCGAGATGTTTTCATCCCTGCTGAGCAGTGCTTACCCAGAGCCAAGGGCTTTGCTGCTTCTCCCCCCACCCCACCAGCGAGCAGCCTGGGGGGGCACAAGGAGTTGGAGGGGACACAGCCGGGACAGCTGACCCCAACCGACCCAAGTGATATCCCACACCATACGGCGTCATGCCCAGTATGTAAAGGTGGGGGAAGAAGAAGGAAGGGGGGACGTTGGGAGTGATGGCGTTTGTCTTCCCAAGTCACCGTCAGGCGTGCTGGAGCCCTGCTGTCCTGGAGATGCTGAACAACTGCCTGCCCGCGGGAAGTGGGGAATGGATTCCTGGTTTTGCTTTGCTTGCGGGTGCGGTTTTTGCTTTACCTATTAAACTGTCTTTATCTCAGTTCCCAAGCGTTCTCACTTCTACTCTTCTGATTCTCTCCCCCATCCCACTGGGTGGCGGGGGGAGTGAGCGAGCAGCTGTGTGGTGCTTAGTTGCTGGCTTTCCTACACTGCCTTCCACAAAACTTAAAGGAGTATCTTCAGGGTGGGCTGCAGTTGATTTGGCGAACCTTTGCCGAAGGCTACTGGGAGGGAAGGTGCCCTGAAAAAAAGAAGGCACCCATCTTATCTCCAAAAGAAATGAGGCTTGTTGTGTGGTCAAGCTGAAAAAAACAGTTGTGTAGTGCTGCTGGAGACCAGCAAGTCTGAGAGAAAAAAATATTACAGGACTGATCTTCTAAAGTACTGCAAAGTATCAGAAATGGGATTTATTTTTATTTTTATCTACAGTTAACAGTCAAGAATCAGACCACAAAGAGCACAAAGGCTCTAAGCTACTTTCAGGATAACCTGGCGTGCCAGTAACCCAAACCACTGAGAGGAGGAAGAGCTCTAATATCTCTTGAGAAGCAGCCTCTCATGCTTCTCAATACAAGACATAATAGAGTAGCCTGAGATCAATGACCACACAAATAATTGAATTTAGCATAGATATAAATGGATTCCCAGCGTAAAGCAGTGCTGGAGGTTTTAGATGCCAAGCATGAATATTTAAACAGTTTTTTTAAAGATGTAATGAGAAAAAGTAGCACAGAACATGTCTGGGGAATCTTAATACCCCATACTTCCTACATTGCCTCCTCAAACAGTGTATATTGCTAACACAGGGTAAGTAAAAAAAATAGATGGTGAAATCCATTAGAAGTGTACATGGCAGAAGCAAGTAACTATGAACTCAGTCACATAAGAATTTCAGAGAAAGAAGTAGTATCAAGCCAAAATACACTTCTTAGATGAAGAAATTAAGGATGGTTAACATGGGTTTTTACAGGTATACAGAACTGGGGACAAAGTACGAGTATTCCAGTAGAAGAGTCAACTGTCAAATGATTTAGATTAGATGCATAATAAAAGTTCTCCTTATATTTAAAAAAACACTTGGAAAAAAAATTGAAGAAAGTAGATATAAACTAGTAGCTAAGAAGTAAGAGGAGGTAAACTTTATTAATAAAGAATATCATAGTATCTACATATAAACCAATCCAGGTCATACATGTTTAGGAAACTGTGGACCAGTGAAAGCAAACCCAAACTACCTTCACAAGCCATTCGTAAAAACTGCTGAAAGATCAACTGCCACCAAAAATGTGGATAAATGCAGCATTAGTTTGCAATAAGTTATGCAGAAAGGTGACAAAGTCCAAATCTGGAAACTAAGGAAATTTCCTTAATGTAAAGTTAACGCCAACTCCTTGGAAATTAAAAACACACTTAGAAGCAAAATAAGATGTGAAAAAACAGAAAACAATGAACTACAACCATTAACACTGATAATCTTAGAAGAATAATTCTTGCTAAACAGCCTTTTAAGACAGCTATAATACTAACTTATGAAAGGATAAATTCTTTATGGAAGGAAAGAAGTATTTCCTTTGCCTGAGCAAATATAACCGTATTTGTACACAGAGGCAATACGACTGCATTTTAGTTAAGCACATGATACTTCCATCTGCCAATATCAGACATTGAAAATCCCATAATTGCCTTAAAACTGTCCAAACGACTTATATGCAGTGGAAAACATACACCAGAGAAGCTGGAAGTAACTATGCTACTTCTAATTTCTATGAAACGGGTTCATCCCGTTCCTTGGCAACTGCACCATTAGCTACATTAAAAGCATGGACAATTCAGGACAGTGGGTTAATGTTTCCTCTGTAAGATTTCCTTAATACACATTATTATGCTCAGACCTCAAGTATTATAACAGCATCAATAACAGAAATGCATTTGCAGTTGGGAAACATGCATCCAAAAACCAAGTCTTGAATGGTGTAACTGTAACTCTTTTCTGGACAGCTAGGTATTTGGGTAATTAAACACCTCTACATTTCATATATATCATAAGGTCACATGGATGCTTTATTTTCTGCTGGATTCTAACACAAGCAGACTTGTTACCACTTTTTCACAGAACTTGCAGCAGAAAATAAATAAGCTGTTACAGGTTTATTATAAGTACTTGTTTGTGAAATATCATTTCTCCAGAGATGCTTAATGCTCAGGTCTTAGCCACACCTCCTTTTTCTTTGTGCTGGATTTCATCTGTTGAACCATCAAAGCGCAAAGGCATCTACATCTCTACCGCCTCACTGCATGAGAGAATTTTTAAAGCAATAAATCTGTCCTCATCTGTCCTGCCTGTACTGTAGGATTGGGCAGCAGCAACAGAGCAAACAAGAATTGGAGGGGAAGAGGTCGGTGCTGAACAAAGTGTTACGAATTTTTATAGATTTTGGGCAGAAACTACCGTTATGATTTTTTTCCTGAGGAATGCTGATTCTGCAAGCCAGTAAGACTATTTTGTTTCACATTTTCTGACGGGCAAATCAAATAAACCCTATCTTTTCTTGCAAACCGTCCACCCAGCACATTCCAAACTGGTCACTGCAGCAGAAGGAACCGTTTTATTGAGATGAGTTAGAAAAAGGTACCTGGAGCACAAAGAAGGTGAGCCAGATCATGAGCAGTCCCTCTGCCCAAAAGAAAGTCACTCTAGTGAATAGATTTCTCCCTTCAGGATTTTTTCTTACTTGTTATTTTCAGAATCATTACCCGTCTTAAACTTTCAGCCATCTGTCTACATACGCAGCATTATAAACAGGGGGAAGAAAACGTTTATTTTACCTTCACAAGACAGGCCGTGAGAAGTGACTCCAGAGAGGCTCTCTCTACACACGTTACAGAAGGTAGGTCGGGCATGGGAGCAGGCGTACCAGTTATGCATCCCTGAGAAATGTTCCACATTAAACTGTGCGGTCTAGTAAAGGAGAAGTTAAGACAAATTTGCAAGTACAGAACACAGCTACGGTGACTGAAATTACCTACGGTTCCATATTACAGGGGAAGACAATGCAATGTTCACCAAAAGTATTTTCCAAAGGGTATTTAGCCTGCTCTCCCTCCAAACTTCTACACAAAAGTGTGATAATAAGCTCTCATTTTGCTAGTAAAAGTCTTAACGTGAAGCTTCACTCTGACATTAGACACGCTTTTCACACTAAGGAGGGTGAATACTCCAGTTCTGTGTCCTGTAGCTTGATCTGTTGAGCTAGAACAGCTTGCACCAAGAGGGATGTCAACTTACCTCATAGTGTTCTCTGGACTGAACGGACTTCAGAGAGCTTATCCAGTCCTCCATTTCTTTTCTGTTCTCAGCACACAATATTAGCCTCCTAAATGGAGTGATTATCTGAAAAAGATAATGCATTCTGATTAATCCAGATAGTAAAAATCATTATAGACCGCAATATTTAACGTACTCTTTCCTGCAAAATGATGCAAAAGGAAGACACGCCCTAGATCAGAAGATATTAAACACTTAAAAACATTTTCTTTAACACACTACCAACAATGAAGGAGTTTGCTCTTCCTTTTTCAGTTCCCAAGATTCGAATCAGGCTTCAGTATAGGTCTTTACAACCTATGTCGATTATTCCTCCTTCTCAGCTCTTTGTCTATGCACTGAGATTTAAATACTCAAATGGCAGGCACTGAAGCTGCTAAAACAACCGTTCTGGAAATTACTAACTGACTAAGATTGCAATCCTATTTCATAACTGCATTATAGCCACTGCAAGGTCCATTCCAGTTGCTAGAGACAAAAACATATCAAAATCAAAAGCCTGGAAGTCTTAAACAACAAAAGCTTTCAGTATATTTCTCTATCTTGTACACTGATACTAAATTTACACAAATTTAAACATACATAAATTTAAAACAGAACTTTCTATATAAAACTCAGTATAAGAACACATACAAATCTTTATAAAAAGACACAGAAAACAAAAGCAAACAGCTGAAATCATATCCTACTAGGATGATTGAATGAATTCCTGGAACAAGTTGATACTGGGGAGTTTTCAGTGGTCTGGAGTTGGATTCTAGAAATGTGAAAATTCTGTATCTAGGAGGTCCAGAGTATAAGCTGTTTTCCCCTCTCCCTCACCAGTAGAAAAATAATTAAAATAACAGGAAGGCACCAGAAACTATCAGCTAACTCCCACTGAAATTATTTTGAGCAGTGCACAAAAATAGACGAAGCAGTTACTTACATAGCAAAGAATTTAAAACAAAATAAGTATATTAAATTAAAGTTATTTGGTTTGTTGTAGGAAGTCTGAAAAATAAAATTACATCCTTTATCAGTCTTATGCATAAATCTGTTGCATAGTATGTACCACCCACACTTGCAAATTACTTAAGTAAAACAAAGAAAGGACCACCAAAAAATGATAGCTCTGAGTACTGTTTTAAACACTACAGGCTAGATATTGTAACATTTGCACAATATTAGTAAACACTTATCTACAGCTGTATTTACTTACCCAATCTCTGCCGTAAATAGTCTCTAGCCTTGATTTGTCCTATCCACTTCTTCATTAAACTGAGCTGCACTTTAACATATCTCAGAGGCAACGTAACTGAAGTGCAGCAAGCTGCAAGTCACATGGAGGGGAGGCAAAACCCTGTAGGCTTTCTTTTTTTTTTTTTTTTTTGCCTTTTTTTTTTTTGATGTACTCACTTCACATGGAATGGAATAGTTTCTCTGTTTTCTATTTCCTTCAATCTTGCTTAAGCTTTTTAATAAGGTTTATTAGTAGCTCTCCGCAGCTCTTCCTAAAGAACAGTTAATGCAAAGAGCAATGCTTCTCTCATTAGTTTGGAGCCAAACAGACGCTTTATTACTTCAAAATGTTTTTCTAGGCCAGGTCATCAAATGAAGCCCAGAAAAGCCATTAAATCATAATATAACCCTGGCTCCAACAACAATCAGCATTCTGCTGGAATTTCCAGGTTTCAGTGGACTCAGAAATTTTATTTGGGCAAATACACCCACCAGATTATTTCCTATTATATAGCATGACATTATAATACAGATTAAGTAAGGACAAGTCTATCCAAAACTCTGCACTTTGCATCCGTCCTTCCCCCATACTTATTGCTAACCTGCAACCAGATGCTGTGAAATGCCCTTAAGCAACAACAGCTGCATTTATTGCTGAAGGCTCCTGACAATCTTGATCTTTTCAAGTAATATTTCTTTAATTACTTATGTCTTTAATACTACTGAGCACAGAAATCCCCTGTGCACCCCCCACTCTTCCCTCCCAAGATCAAGTATGTGTTCAGTTGTTCACACATACTTACCTAGTGCCAATGGAGATGCCCTTTGGTATCCAAAGCATCAGCACAGGGCAGGTAAATACAACAGAGGACCATAGCACCCAAAACAGTAGCTATCAATAACCCAGGTGGGACACCAAAGGTCCTCTCAAAAGGTACTACACACCCATGTAGCGGCAACCAAGCCATGTCGCCAACCACTGCTAACTAATGTATGTAAACATACCAGAAATTCCTATATCCCAACTTCTTATTAAGTTCAGAGCATGATAAACTTAATGAAGTTCAGAGCATTTCAACAGTCTAAAAGTTAAATTATACACTGAGGATCACATGAACGTGGGATCAATTATTACTAGTGCTATAAAAACAAAGTGGAAAGTTGTAAGACATACATACTTGTAAATACAGAATCTATAACATGATTATACTAGATATTCTGTTTGATTTACCTATTTTTAACAACAAACTTCAAGAAGGTATACGAAAACATGAAAACAGACAAAATGCATTATATGCAAAAAATATCAACAATGCTTGAAATTTTTCTTAAAAAAAAAAGAGAGAAACTAAACAGTCCATTTAGGTTCTCATCTACTTCAGTCTACAAAATCACGGAGAAGATGTACTCTTGTTATTTATTACATATTTCACATAACATAAGAACTCAGGGAAGCAAGGAAATTATTAGCAAACAACAAGAAGTGTTTTTTCCTAAATGTAATGCATTAGTTAGGCTTGAAAAGTATTCCCAAAGGATGTTGAGGAGACCATAAGCATAAATGTCTTAAAAGGTATTTGACAAATTCATCACGAATAGATGCATCACATACATACTATAAAACACAATATCCAAAACCTTCAACTTAGCAAGTCCTCAAAATTCAACAGTGAGCTAACTCAGTATAGCTGTTCTTGCTTGTCCTAAACTGAGAATGACTTCCTATACTATCTTATTTGCATTTACGCAAAAGGCATGCTTTCTTATGGATGCTTACAGAAAGTTATGATCAACTAACTGAAGTGGGATGCTTAGAGTGCATTCATTAAAGACAGCTGAACCTGTATGCAGACATAATCAAAATTAAAATGGATTTAATTGTTGTTAAAACTATTTTCCAGATATGTAAATTTGGATTTTACTAGTAATCTTATCTCATTGCATTCAAAGTCCTGTATCTTTTCTTTTACTGACCAAACTCAGTATCTTTTCTTCTATTACATATCACCTTTTTTTAAAATTAGTGCTTGCTGCCCCAATTATTATTTCTATATTACTGAATATGCTAAACTCTCAACAGACAAGAAGAAATTGTAAAATACAATGACAAAGGAAGTGTCACAGGAACCACTGGAAGACCATTGAGGTAACGTATCTTGGAGAAACTCAGGTGCTAATGATTCACACGCTGACAAAGCAGGAGACAAATCAAGAAGGATGAAGACAGACAAAAGGCCTAAAAATAAATAAATCAAGCAGATTTCATTTAGAAGATTAAGTTACTTTGAAAATTTTCACTGTTGTCTAGTAGCCAAGAAGAAGTCATTGCTGATTTTGGAAAAAGAGAGTTATCAAAGCCAGATACTGCAGTATATTGGAAAGTAATGAAATTGAGGTAGTGGGAATAAAAAACGCCTTTAACGCAGGAAGTATAGGCAAAGAGTGAGCATATACAGTTTTAAAAGTTGTAGGCAAACAACACAAGTCCTAGAACATCATAGGGAATAAAGAAAGTCTGGATAGGAAGAAAAATGGCCCATTACTGCGATAATGTTCCTGTTCTGTTCAGAAAAACAGGGGGCTTTTTGAGTAGGGAATGAAGGAGAGAAGAAGAGGACATTGCTCAGTCTGCCACCACATAGGTCTTGCCATAAATTGGGATTTTCACACATGCTGACACTAGGATAATTTGGCTTCTAAAAATACACACATAGTCATGTATACGTACATACACATATGGAAATTACTTTGATGAAAATTACACAGTCAAGTTTTGGGCTGCTACTGCAACTTTTTCTTCAGACAGCACCTATTAGGAGCAAGCTTAACATCTTGAAAGGAAATAAAATTGCCATTAAATTCAGCGTATATTTGAAAGCACCTTTCACTTTCAAAGGGGCTAACTTTACCGGTAACATTCTATTTGCTTTCAACCCAATTGGTTTAGACTTATGACCTGTAAAACAAAATCATAGAGTTTATTTAAAGCCTATTGCCTAATTTTTAACATATTTTACCATATTTAGCAATATGTAAGAAAATACAGTTCCCAAAGCTTGGTGGCTACATTTCTGATTTCTGTTACCGATTCAAAGAAAAATGCAGACACTACATTTGCTAATCGAGAAAAGAATGGTCTTCATCTAAGCAGCAACACACCAGCTGTTGTAAAGCACCCCACTGCCTGCAACATGATATTTGCATTAAGGCACCTTCTGCTGCCCTAAACTATTACCAGGCATTACACTAATAGCACTTTGTATGGCCGATCTTGAATTGACTTAGTAATGTAGAAACAGCACTTAGAATCTGAAATGGGTGGGGAAATGGTTTTCCTGTTCTTTGAACAGATATTTTTAAAATATCTTTCTGGAATTAATGAAGAGAGGGCGATATAAAGAGAGACAGCATCCCCCACCTCTCCTCTTAGGGACCGCACCCGATGCCTGGGGCACGAACGCAACAGATTTAACGCTCTGTAACTTCTCTGTGCTTCTAGACATCGGCAAGTGAGTTCTGGCAAATACCAGGATAATATCTTACGCCTCCCTTGCTTTCTGTCTGCCCCTGCATTTCCCTGTCCTCATGCAGGTGGGTCCATATGAATGCAATGGATGAATGCATCTCCATCACAGTGGTGGGAGGAGACTGCTGCGGTCGTTGATGCTCCCGTACCTACCAGAACTTGTCTGCAAAAATCACGGTGCTAACAGTTGGGCAGCTTTCTACAGTACTTTAATTTCTTGAATTCAGGATACTAAATAAATTACAACAGTTCCGTCACTGTCAAAGGTATAGTTGGGGCTTTATGGTGAATCGTCACTATTATTTTTCAAGATGAGCCA